TCTTGGTGTTCTTCTCCGCGATTTGAGCGCGTGCTTGGGCGAGCTCGTTGCGCAGGGTGGCGCTGCTCTCACGGTAAAGGTTGAGTTCGTTCAGCTTCTCCATGAGGTCTTTGTGGGCAATGGACGCCTGCCCGCTCTCGGACTGGGAACGACGCTCTTGATCGAGCTTCAAGCGAGCTTCGTCCAGTTGAGACTGAGAATACTCGAGCTGTTGCTGCAAGCGCTTGGCCTCCTGCACCTTCAGATCGTACTGTACTTCGAGAATCTCCTTCTCGCGTCTAAGGTAGTTGTTGAGCTCGCGAAGGCCGTCGGCAGCACTGTCGTTGCCACCCTCAGTGTCCCCGTTGGTGTCGTCCGTAGAGGCGGTCCTGCTCTGCTTCAAGTCCGAGAATTGTTTGGTGATGCTCTCGAGCTGCTCGTGTAGAAGCTTATTCTGAGCGTTCACATCATCGCGGCGGGCCTTGATCTCAGCCATCTCCTGCTCCAGTCGCTGACGACGCTCCTCCCAAGATCCTTCACTCTGGGTGAGAGCAACCTTGGCAGATTCGGCCTCGGCTTTGAGGGTAGCAGTCTGGCTCTTCAGCTCGTTGTATTCGGTCCGAAGCTGCTGAACCAGCTTGGCTGCCTCGGCGTGCTTGACCAATTCCTGTTCGTAGTCTTGCTGGGCCTTGGCGGTGATCTCGGACTGAGCACGAAGATCCTGTTGGTGAAACTTGGCTGCCTCAGAGTGGCGCTCAGATTCCTCCTTCAAGCGCTTGATCTCGTCATCCAAAATCGTCTTCTCATCTTCGTACTTGCGGGCCACCTCAGCCTGGGAATCGCGGAGGTGAGAGAGCTCCTTGTTGGAATTGGCCAGCTCGGAAGAAAGGTCTTCAACGCGCTGCTCCAACTCCTTGATCTTGGCGTCCTTGCCAGACAGGGTCGACTCCATCTCCTCTCTAAACTGGTCATGTGAGGCAGTGAATTCGGACAAGGCCTCCTCGTTCTGCTCACTGAGCTGCTTGTACGACTCAGCCTGCTCCTTGGCGGTCTCAAGGTGAGCCTTGGCCATGTCAAGCTCCCTCTTGAGGTCAGAGACCTCATTGATGAGCTCGCGAACCTCGGCCTCATTCTCCTCATTTGTCGGTGCAGGCGGCGCCATGGTGCCGGGTCGAGGTGTGGGTCGTGGCGCAAGTCTGCCAGCGCGATCCTCGGCGCTGCGAAGCTCGATGGTGAGCTCGTCAACACGAGCCTGGAGATGATCCCGGCTGGTCTTAATGGCGACGTGCTCCTCGCGAATCTGGCTGAGGCTGGTAGATAGCTCGTCAATCCGCTTCTGCGCCTCGCGAGCGTCAAACTCCTTTCGTAGCTGCAACTTCTTGCCCTCCTCCATCTCCTCTGACAACTTCCTCTTGGTGTCGTTGAGCTCTTGCTCGAGATTGTCGATCTTGGTCTGGGTCTTTCGTCTATACTCGGACTCGGTAATGTCGCGTTCATTCTGCATTGACTGTTGAGTAGCCAGCAGGTTGTTGAGGCGCGTCTTTTCTTGGACAAGATTCTCGTTGTCCTGGTTGAGGCGATCCTGAATATCCTTCCACAACTTCTTCTCCGCCTTGAGGTTAGCGGCCTCGTTGCGAATGCTCTCCAGCAAGCCCTTGGCGTCGACCAGCTCTTCAGCAACCTGTTGCGTCCGGATCTCCTGCTTGATAGAGTCCTCGGACAGGGACTGATTGCGCTTCTGAAGCTCCTTGTTCTCGCTCTGCAGAGCAACAAAGTTGGAGTGAAGCATCTCGTATCGCTCGGAAGCCAGAGTAATTTGGCTGGAAATCTTGGCGACCTCGCCCTGCAGGCTGTTCTTCTCGCTCGAGAGTCTATCAATCTGTTCTCTGAGAGATCGTCGAACAGACTCCTCGTCGTTACGATAAGTATCAAATTCCACTTGCAGAGCGCGGAGAGCAGCAGATGGGGACACGCCGTCGCCATCTTCTGTCTCGATGCTAGCGAGCGGCAGGCGTTGACCGTCCTCAGAGCCACCCAAGATAGAGGCGAGCTCCCCGGCGGACGCCTTTTGTTGAAGCAGACGGCGGAACATGTCACGCTCGGCCTTGAAGCTTTCCATTGTCGTTCTCAGTGACTTCGTCTCGTTAATCATGCCGGCGAGTTCCTGTTGCAGACGCTCAACAGCCTGGTGGTCCTCGACCGCCTGGTTCTTGGCGGCCACGGCTTCCTCGCTCTCCATCTGCTCGGCAAGCTCGCGGGTAACGCGAAGTAGTTCCTGGTTCTTGGCTTGAAGCTCCTGGATGTCCTTGAAGACAACGAACTTTTGCGTGATGAACTGGTGGGTGTCGGACATGTCGGAGAGCGCGCCTTCGGTGATCTCGCCTCGGGAGAGCTGCTCGAGGCGAACAGTCTCCTCGCGCGTCAGCTGGTCAAGACCCTTCTCGCGGGCGTGCATGTTGAAGACCAGCATCTGGATCTGGGTGCTGAGATCGCGGACTTGAGTGCGGAGGATCTTGGACTCAGCTTGGGCGTTTGCCAGCGCACTCTCTGCCTTCCTGGCGCTCTTCTTAGCGGCATCGCGCTCCTCGAAGCTGGTCTGAGATAGCTCAGACATGTGGGTGATCTCGGCCCTCAGTGAGTCGGCCTCATTCTGCAGTTCCTCGATCTCGGGGGACTTGGCCTCCAACAGCGCAATCATGTTGTCGAGCTCTTCGGCAAGCTGCTGGTTCCGGCGCTTCTCTCCGGCCAGCTGGCCCTTGACCTTGTATAAATCTTCGATGGCTTGGGTGGCGGTAATCGCAGACCTGGCACGGGCAGAGCCAGGTGTTGCGAAAGGCGAAGCAGGGCGACCGAGCAGCGAACCGTTCATGCGAGGAGTCTGAGGAGCGGGGGAGCCGGGAGGAGGGCCTTGCTCCATTCGGGCGTGGACCTGATCAAGTTCGCCTTCGAGCTGCGTGATCCTTTCTTCAAGCTCGCGGCACGTCTCCTTCTCCCTCTCAAGTTCCTGCTGAATCCTTCGAATCTCGTTGGAATGTTTCTCCTTCAAAGACTCCTTCTCACCCTCGAGGGTCTGCACGCGCTTCTTGTGGCTGTCGGCAAGCTGGTTCGTCATCTCGACGACTCGCTGTTTGTTCTCCAGCTCGTGCTTGTAGCTTTCTTCGCTGCGTGCAAAGGCCTCCTGCTGCTGTTGAACCTTGGTCAGAGCCTCCTCGGCCTTGGCCTGGGCGGCATCGAGACGGTCTCGGAGTTGCTGCTCGCTTCGCTTGAGGGCCTCAATGTTCGACTTGGCGTCCTCGTTCTGACGCTGCAGCTCGGCGATTCGGGCTCCCTTTTCGCGGCGGTACTTCAAGGCCTCGTCGCTCTTGGTCTTGAGCTCGGTCTCGAACCATTCGCTGTTGCGTCGCGCAAGGTCGAGCTGTTGCTGGAGGGATTCTTCGCGGTACTTGGCGCTGCTGACCGCAGCCTGTGCGCTCTGAACCTGTTGTTGAAGAGATGTGATTTCCTTGTTCAGTTGTACGTTCTTTTGGTGCTGCTTCGCAAGCTCCTCGGAGAGCTCAGAGTCGCGGGCATTGCGCGACTCCAGCAGAGCCATATTTGCGCGGTTGGAAGATTGAAGGGACTCGATACGGTCACGGAGGGTCGTGATTTCGGAATCGTAGTCGGAACCACGGGACTTGAGGGATTGGAGCTCATTCTCGACCGTTTGTCGTTTCGTCTCTGTGAATCATGGGGTCAGCAAGATGGGAACATACTAACGAGTGGAGACGGAAGGCAGGCACAAACCTTCCTCCTTGAGCTTCTGGCGAACTTCCTCCACGTCCTTCAAAGCCTTGTCGGCGGTCGCCTTGAAACTCTGACATTTCGACTCGGCACTGTGGTTCGCGCTCTCGAGCTCGATGTCGACCTGCAGCTTTTGCGCATACAGCTCATCGTACTCGCGAGCCTTGGAGATGACGGCCTCGAGAAGGCTTGCGACGAGCTCGGGGGTAGGTTCGGTTGTGACGGTCGACACAGTCGACTCAGGCAAGCCGAGGTGGCCAGCTACGTAGCCGACGTCCACCGCCGCTGCCATTATGATTTTGTCTCAGATTCTGCTTCTCGACATCGAACGGAAATCGTGGCGAGGGAGGGATAGAATCGAAAAGTCGAGTGGTGGTGATGGCGTCGCGCGTTGGCACCCCGCCTGTCGAAAGGTGTCTTGCACAGGGGAAGGCTCGAAATAGTACAATAACAAAGGAAATAAAGAGTCGAAGCCGTGTCTTCAGACGGCAATCACCCAAACGCCGCGTTTGGTGATCGAGGCGTCGTCGAAGGGGTGATGGGCGACGAAAAGTTGGGGTGATTGTAAGCGACGACAGGAGACGACAATCGCAAGATTTTGGCCAGGCGCGACCGATGTTTTCTTGGGTTGGGCGGCCTGAGCACCTGGACAGGATGCAAGGCTGCTCTGCTCTGTCCACCTGGAGAAGCTGCATCCAGCAACAGGGTGACAGCGAAGGAGCTTTTTGGGCCAATCAAAGCGCACAGAGCTTGGAGCTGCCTGGCTCACCGACAATCACCCGGATGACTCAGCCACAGCTGTGGCCGTCGGTGGGTCCAATGAAGTCAGAGCCGCTGACCGAGGACCTTTTCGGTAAAGTCGGTGAGAATTCTCGGTGAGGTGGCGTTCATCAGCTGGGAGAAGAACACACGATGAACTATGCGTGAAAGTCCTCTTCTAACCAATCAAATTTGATGAAAGTTGTCTGAAGGCTTTTATGAGACTCTAGAATGAGATGTAGCTATCAAAAGAGTGCACCTGTGGGGTTGCGTTAGAAGTATGAATTGTTTGTCAATTTATTGTGTCATGTCTAATCGAACAACTGCTGTAGCAAAATTGCCGTCAGGTCAACCACGACATTAGTATCCCACAATCTGAATGAACGCCCACATATCTTTCCGTCATGTTCAAGTGTTTCATTATCCATTATTTACCAATCTTCGGAAGCCTAACATCTCTCTAATCCTTATGCCCATGTCAGCTACCGTCTCTGATGGCCGGAATCCAGCTCAGAATACCCGGGCGTCGGCCCCGAGTGCCATCCCATCCCCTGAAGCTCCGCTCTCTGCTGACCCGGTACCTGATAGCTCGCCTGCTGTGCCCCGGACGCCTGATGAACCGGCTGGCCGTGCGCCTCTACCGGCGTAGTCTGCCCCTGAGGCTGCGCGTAACCGCCACCCTGCAGCTCAGGCGGTAAAGGCAAACTCTGTCCATACTGGTTCCCGAAGCCTCCATGAGACTGAAGCTCAGGGGGCATATACTGTCCGCCGGGCTGCAGCTGCCCGTTGGTGTTCGCCGGCATCTCAGGCACAGGGGGCGTGTGGCCTTGACCAGGCAGCTCCTCCCCTACCGGCGACTGTCCAAATCCACTGCCACCGTATGCCGACGCCGGCGAGATGGTATCTGGTCGCGGGGAGCTTACTTGAGAAACGGTCATCGAGGGGCTTTTGGGTGGTAGCTCGGTAAGCATGGTGCCGCCCAGCTCAGGCTTCCCAGTCGTGTCCGGCGGGCCGATGGTCGACGCCAGAGGCAGCTTGGTCTTCTTCCTGCGGCGGTAGATGAGGAATGCCACGAGGCCGGCGATGCTGAGCGCTCCGACAAGCGCGATAACGCCGCCAATGATGATCCCGATACCCGGGCGGCTCGAGCTGGTTCCCGCGCCGCCGGATGTGCCGTCAGAGGTGGCGGTGCCCGTGGGCTGGGCACCCGAAGTCCCTGATCCCGTACCCGTCTTCGCGGTGGGGTAAGTTTGAGCAACTGCATTGGTTAGCCCATCAAAAACACAAAAGCGTTGGGCATAGGTTCCTACTTGACTCGGCCACCGTCGCGACCACCGCCCCCTTGGCCGCGCTACAGTAGTAATCCAGCACACCCAACGCCGATGAGATATCCGCCGACGCGGTCGAGGTGCAATACCACTTGACATCCGACGTCAACGTGTTGCTTACCATAGCCGTCACGCCGTCCTTAAGACACATACACGAGGCCAGCGCCTTCGGGCCGCTCGGGCAGAGGTCCCTCGAGATAGAGTACATCGCGTCCGACATGCCCGACTGCGCGCAGGGCACCAGCGAGCTGTACTGCGAGAGCGCGGTGATGTAGTACGTCATGTCGCCGGGCGGCGGCGTCGGCGTCGGGAAGGCGGTGGTGCCCTTGTTCATGGCGCAGTAGGCGTCGTAGAAGTCGCCGGCGGAGGTGACGTCGGCCGCGTTGGAGCACGAGTACCGCACGAGCGACGCGATGGAACGGCTCACGCGCGCCGAGTTGTCGTTCTTTGCGCAGATGCAGGGCGCCATCAGGCTGGCTGGCTCGGGGCACAGGGACGTCTGAAGATGGATGTCAGGTCTGCGTCTACGACACCCTCACCGGGACGGAGCTTACCATCGAGCTGATGGCGTATGATACACCAGACTGGGCGCAAGGCGCCATGTTGGAGAAGGCGGGGACGTCAGTCGCATATTGCGTGACGATGTTTGTTGTCGGCGTTGCGAAGGTGATTAACGAGTCGGGATTGCAGTACTGGCTGATGACGGCGGCGACACTGGTCTGGTCGTCTGAAGCTGATGAGCCGCAGCTGTAGCTGACGGTTTTGGAGATGGACGAGGTGATGGCGGCCAGGTTGTTGTTCTTCGTGCAGATGCATGACTGCAGATCTGTTGGAGCTTCGCCGCAGGCCGAGTATGTCTGAGAGAAGATGTTGTATGAGATGGCCGTCTGGGCGCATGGTGCCTAGTAATGTCAGCTTCCGGTGTTTGAGGGCATCTCCAGTTGGATTGAGGGAACTGATGCGAACCAAAACTTACCAGTAACGTGTAGATGGACAGGTCCGTCACATAGACAATGTTGGCAGCCGCTGCCACACCGCTGATGTACAGAGACAACAAAGACGGCATCAATATTCGAGCCATTTTCAAAATCAAAGAACCATGCAAAAGGGCCGGAAGAATGGAACGACGAAGACGCCGGGACAATAGTGACAGAGAGGGTTCTCAAAGAGGATGTCTAAGAGAAGAGAACGCAGCAAACCCCCCCTCCTGAGGAAGAGGAAGATGAGCGCGGGGAAGGCATACAGCTTGAATTCGCATCAAGCCACATCCTATTCCGCACCCCCTGGACGAGTTAGTTCCGCATCGCGGAGTGGCAGATTTGGTGGTTTGACGGGCGATCACTCCATGAGGCACACTTTACCCCTGTCACGATAGCGCCAAAGCAGCCCGCGCCCCCCCTGCCAGCTGAAAAGCAGCCAAGGGCGACCTCAACGTGATCTGATCCCGCGAATGACGGAGTCAGGTTGAACGATTCTGCCTGGGTCGAACTCCACTCGCGGCAACAGAGCGACTTAACTCATCTGAGGAAGAAGAACCGAGGTGGTTCGGCAACACGGAACATGCTGGAGCATCTGGAGACTGGCACGCAGCATCCCGAGCGAACGTCTCGCAATCACACCGTCGACCGTTGGAGATAGGAGACACGATAACGGCGTCTCCACGCGATTTTCAGCTGAAGCGGCATGGCGTCGCGCAATCAAAGACGACCCTTGCTGGCCAGAGAGCGGCTAGCGTTGGCACACATGGCAATGCGATTTGGAGAGGCTGCTAGGCTGCGTCAAGCAGGATGCGCTTGATGATTCCGATACCGCAGTTGGCAGTATCCTTTCGGCACGACTCCGACAACTCCTCCAAGTTGACTCACAAAGCCTAGGTACGGATACGCTTCTTGAGCTTGCTGTGGGGTTCTTGTTCACGTTGACGGTTGACGATGATGGGTCGCGCGAAATTGAGTCGGGCGCCAGCGAACGCCACAAACAGGGACCTGCAGCAGTTCAAACGTGAGCGTCCAAGGCCATTGGTCGAGCAAGGACGAAGTGCCCGACAAAAATGTGTCCAGCTGTCTTTGGCGTGCAGCGTCAAATTACTGGCAGGGCGAGTTAGCGTGAGGTTGAAAGAAGCAGTGCTCCATCTGCCATGCGGCCTATCTCCGTGCCTGGATGGACTTTGAGTGCTGACAGGGGGCCAAAGAAACATGGATCCAGTGTTGGAGGAGGGATTCAGACTCAGAGACATGGAGCCGGCGATGGAAGGGATTGCCCTAAGATGAGGGATGACATAAGCCAATCACATGGACTCGGCCGGACGGAGCGGATCATCAGCACGGATCTTCCAGCAAGGTACCATACCTTAGGTAATCAGATTGGCCAGACTGCTTAGGTAAGGCAATCTTCAATCGAGCGCACATGCGGCATGGAGAGAGACGCCACGCAAATCTCACTTCAGTTCAAGCATGGCACCTCTTGGGCCAGCCCCTTCGATGCTGCACAATATACCGATGTCGCCAAGGTGATCTTCCAAAGTTTATCGTGAGGGATCTACGCCCTGTGGTATCATTCAATCTTGTCAACTACTTCTTAAACTCTGACTTTTCGCCGCCATCACAAGCCTCACCGGTTATTATCTTGTTCCTCATCCCGCCTGATGATGCCTTCAAAGTCGCCTGGTAACCTCAGGCATCACGCCGTAAATCTCCCTCCATAACCACCCGCCATATCTCCAAAAGAACTCGTCAATCTTAAAGATAGGCGCCTCGATATGCTGTCCCTTTTTGCGCCAGGCGTACAAGCGCACGTACGCTTACACGTCGGGCATGTGCCTTGATTCAGCTTAACGAGGGATGTAGGAACGTCGCTGTTGCTACTGTCTTGCTCGTCTGCTGGAGCCGACTCGATCATGTCGGATTTCGTCGCCAACCTCGGCACTGCCCTCCGTTCCTCGTGTTGGATAGAGCCTTCTCTCTTCCTCTTGTGGGCATCAGTCCCCGTGAAGAGATCACCCGGTGACCTTTTTATCACGGCCATCTTTTCCTCTGAGGCGGCTTTCTCCAGGGCGGCTTCCTCCAGAGCGGCTTTCTCCCGAGCGGCGTTCTCCAGGGCGTCTTTGATAAGTACCTGTTTGGCCAGCTCCTGCCAGAGGCCCAGGCCTATTGCGTCGTGAATAACGGGTGCCTTGACCAGCTTGAGACACTCCCGCCACCCATCTTTCTGTTCCAGACGACCAATCTCCATCATTCGGTTCATTGTGACATCGCAGGTGATCTTGACGTGGCCGTTCTCGCACTCGGTCTCCCAGGTTCCCATGACGAAATTTTTGATAAGCCCCACGGCCTCTTGGACGGACTCGCGTCTTGCATGCTCAACTTCGACCACAGTCGTTACTATTTCATCGAGATCTTGTTCTTTGAGCTCTAGTTGTTTGAGCTCTAGGCGCTCCTGCCGGCGAATTTTGGCTTTGGGGTCACAGCTGCTGGACCGGGACCCCTTCCTGGATGTGTTTCCCGAAGAATCTTGCGTTACAGGAAAGGTATCTTGCGTTGTCTCCTCGGAGGAGGTTATGTTATTTACGCTGGGCTCGGTGATAGTGTCAGACGATTCGAGGGAAGACTCGCTGGTGATGGATCTGGCGGATCTGATGGAGGTGGAGTCGCTAGATTCGCTGCTGATGGAATCGTTGGATCTTCGGCTTTCTTGATATTGATGTTGGGTCTCGTTAATTGAGGCATCGAGAACTTCCCCAGTTGTTTGGATGTTATCAGGGGAAAAGCAGCCCCCGGCTACATCAAGAGGTTTGGCCGTCGTGATCGCCGAAACCGCTTGCTTCAGGAAGGGTGTCTGGAGAGTGGCCATTTTCGAGATGGGAACAAAAATTCTGGTAGAGATGCTTGGTGAGGAGGGCTGCTGTTGAAGACACCGCTGTCTGATCAACTAATTGGGAATCCAGTGATTGAGGGAGATCTCGAGGCTTTAAGAAATTTCAGCTGTTCACGTCGTGACCGGCGATGTTGTCAATTCGGGGAAAGAGAAGAAAATTCAAAAACCTTGAGACTTTGCAGTCCGTAGATAGTAGGTTCAATGACGCAACGGGCGGGGTCTCGAACAAGTCTACTGCAGCGACAAGGCGTTCCGCATTCGTCAAGTGTAAACACAAACCACACATATCCGAACTGGTCTGCAGCTACCACTGGTAATTTCAACTGCTCGTTTTCAGGGTCTTCAGCCTCGAGGAAAATGATTGATGTTTCTGTCTGTACGGATACCAAAAGTTCTAATACTCAAACGCTTGGGTTTCGAGGAAAATGTTATGTAGTTTTCGAGTACCAACGCGGAAACTGTTGCCTGATCAGCCCTGAACTTGTGGAAGGCCGTAAAATCGATAAAGCTACACGTGAAGATTTAACATCTGATAATCTGGCGCCTTGAAATCATAACTCTGTCAATCGTATATTCGACCAATAGGCGTCGAATACCGAAGGCAATCCAGATGTTTAAGGTTGACGGGCCTCGACGGGCCTCATCAGGGTGCAGTTCGTACGGTTGTGCGTCCCGTCCCGTCCGTTCTTCCACCGGCACTGCGGATTCTGGGGTCGAGGGGATTGTGGCGCAGAGACCCAGGCTCTCGACCGGTCAGCTTCCACAATTATCTCGGTGGGGGTCGGTCAACGCTCGGTCAAGGTTCGGTCAGCTGCGACTTCACCTCATCATCACCAGATCGCAATCTGTCACCGAGACAACACAGGGCACCCCGTATGCGCAGCAAACAACACTTTCATTTTGGGCGAAAGAAGTGGGTCTCCTGCAACTCTCTCAAACAACATGGGCAGCCTTTGACGTGAGCTCGCAAGTGTTCTTTGATCGCTTTGAAGTTTGAAGCGGAGCTGCCTGTGCCTTCCGCCTGCTAGCTCCTTAGTTTCCATTGAGGTGTCTCCCAGTATTGAGGTCCTGCAAATAGCGCAGATGGTGTGCAAATACAGCCCCAAGCTGCTCCAAAGCCTCCCGAAGAGGCCCTGGGGCTTGCAATGCCGAAGCCCAGAGGATGCTAGGTACTTGCGGTTCGCACCCGCTACCCTGAACAATCCCATTGTTAAAGTTTTCAAGTGAAAGAAAGAAGCAATGCAGTCTTCTTTATATTCCACGGCTGTTGAAAATCAACAATGGACCTCCTTGAAAGGCGTTGGTTCCTGATGCTGGCTACCTTTGGTTGCGATAGGTGCCATTGTTGGCCTCCGCCATCGCCCCATATAACTACGTAGATTCCCAGGTAGGATTGAAAATGCTAATGGAGACGGCTATAATCGTCAATCGACACTTGAAATCCCTGCAGACTTGTGCATCTGAAGATATCCGGCCCTGGAGTCCGGACTCAGCCTCACTTCTTCGAGACGGCGACAAATTCCCCTTTTCGACCCAAATCAGAACCCTTTCGAAGACCAGAGCATTTTTTAAACTTCAATACCACTGTATCTCTTGTATAGCAAGCTGGGAAAACACTGGTAAATATTTCCCGTTGCACTCTTCCTCCCGCTGCCTTCGCACTTCCCCTAACGTGGCAGGCGCGCCCTCCGGATCCCAGGCACACGCGCCTTCCCACTCGACTTCGACCTGCCTTGACCTGCCTCGCCTCCCTCCCACCACCCACCTGCCCTTCCCATCCCATCCAAGAAAAAGAAAACAGTCTCAACTTCTTGCACTCTCCAGAAATCCCAACTCTTCACGGATTCTTCCCATTTTCACTTTCTACACTTCACACACGAATTTTACCACCCCATCATCAACCACCTCACTTTTATCAATTACCTATCGCCTGAACACATTCAGATCACCCCGAGAAGCGTCCAAAATGGACGAGGGAAAGCTTCCCGACCCATGGCCTCTGGTCACCAAGGGCTTCCTCGCCCTCTCCGTGGTCATGTGGCTCGTCACAGCTATTCCGTACGCCTACGACTTCCTCTCACACCTCGTCGTCAAGTACTTCTGGGAGATCCTCATGATATTTCTGCTTTTGCACATCATCCCTTCCCTAGCCTTCTTCTTTGTTCAAGTTCTGAACCCCGTTCTCCGTCGCCTCACCCCGTCCCTGTCCTGTTCGCCCGAGACAGCCGCCAATATCCAACAGACAGCGTACAACTACAGCATACTCGCCATCATTCCTCTTTCTCAGCAACTTCTCGATGGCTTGTTTAAGATACAGAAAGCTTTGGTCTCGGGTCTCGTCACTATCACGGATCACCACACAGTTTTCGGCAAACTTTGCGCCTTCTCCATCGTCATCCAGGACACCTTTCGCGCCCTTTGCGGCAAGAAGCCCGTCGATATTCTGGATGAAAGCGACCGCACTTATTACAAGAAGCGCATCGATGAGTTGACAGAAAATTACCGCGACACGAGGACCGAAAGGAACCAGTGGAAAAGCAGAAGCGAGAAGTGGGAATCGAACTGTAAGGCCTTGGAAGCAAAATTGGACCAACAGTGCGATCGCAACGGCGTGCTGGTGTCGCTTCAAACCAACGAGAGGAACGAGTGGGACACGCGTGAGGAAGCGCTATTCGCAGAGATCGAGAAACTACAGGAGAAGGTCCATAACAAAGTTCAGTCTTGGAAGGTCCAGAAGACCATTCTGGATTTAGAGAGAAAGGTTGTCGAACAACAGGAACAACTCGAACAATACAAGCCCGAGTCGAAGGCCATCCAGACGATCAAAGACCAGCTTCAGGACAAGGACAACCAGATCAAGGCTTTGGAGAAGCAAATTGAGGATAGACAAGACCTCCACGAGTGGAACACCAAGCTCATCGCCGATTACGAAGGTCAAGTGCGCGATTTGCAGAATAAGCTCAGAGACGAGGCCAGGAGGCTTGGTCTCAAGGCTAGCGAGCATTGGTCAGAAGCTGAAATGTGGAAGAAGAGTCACGAAAAGCAAGCAAAGAAGGTCGAGTCCTTGAAGAAGGAGGTTGAGAAGCTTGAGGGAATGGTCGGCAAGGACCAAAAAGCCGAAAACGACAACATGGCAGCAAGCAACAGACTGCTTAGAGAAACGAACAAAAACCTGCGGAATATCATCAAACCTCTGAACATCCCTGCGGAGCTTCTCGATGTCATCCACGAGCCCGAAACCCCGAACAAGGTCGAGGCCACACTGGCAAAGCGCAAGGAGGACGAGTACGCAACGAGGATGAACCATGAGAAAGATCTTCTACAAGACCAACTTCGAGTTGACAGGGAGGAATTTGAAAAAGAGAAGAATGAGATACGCGTGGAATATGACGGTTGGCACAAAGACAAGTCGATCACCGAGAAGGATTTATTTGACAAGTTGCAGGCGGTCGATGAGCAAAAGAAGACGCTTGCGGCTCGCGAGAACAACGCACAGCAAACAATTGCCGCCAAGGACGCAGAGATAAATAGACTCAAGGAACAAGCCGCATATGATGATAGCAAGGTCGCAAAAATCCGAAACTCGTACGACAAGAAGAGTCAGGAGCTTGCAACGAAGAACCAGGAGCTTGAGGAACTGAAGAAGGCCCGCACCAACGTCGGTACCGACATCAACCAGCAAGTCCAACGGTTGTCAACGGCTTTGTCGCAGGAAAAGCAGAAGAACGCCAAGCTTGGCAACGACCTCACTCAAGACCGGGAAGCGATTGAGACTGAGAAGCGCCAGGTCCAACAAGATCGGGAAGCTATTGAGAATGAGAAGCGCCAGGTCCAGCAAGACCGAGAGAAGCTCGAGAAGTCCACCGCATCTGCGGAGCAAGACTTCAACAACAAGAAGCAAGAAATCGCCCAGCGTGAGCAGGAAGTTCTTCAAATACAGGCAGAAGTGCAGGCTCAGGCGGACCAGCTGGGCAAATCGGCCACTCAGAACCAGTCCCTCGCAGATGTGGAGGGCCGCGAACAGCAGCTTGCGCAGTGGACTCAAACGTTGCACCAGCAGGAGGCCCAGAATACTGCCGATCACCAACAAATTACCCAACACCAGCAAGAGATTACCCAACAGCAACAGGCGATTGTCCAAGAGAGGCAGGCCATGGCAGAGCAAGTGCAACAGCAAGTACAACAGCAGGTACAACAGCAGGTACAACAACAAGTGGAGCAACTGGTACAGCAGCAGATGCAGCAGCTCGAGGAAGAGCTTGAAGAGCGGCAAAAAGCCCTCGCCAACGAGAGAGAGGAGTTTGATAACGAGCGAGAGAGATTGCGAAAGGGTTACCAAGCCGCCAATGACAAGCTCAACGAGGAGAAGAGACAACTGCAGAACGGCGGACACGACTCGTCGGAAATGAACAAGAAGATGGCCGAGATGATCAAGAGTCACACCACGCAGTACGATGAGATGGAGCGTCTCTTGCATGCCAAGACCATGAAGGAGGCGAACTTCATGAAGGAGCGCAAGAAGCTAGAGGGGCACATGGCGAGAACCCAACGGGATTGTGACAGACTCCGAGCTGAGAACCGGCACCTGAGAGGCAAGACAGCTGGCGATGCGGCCTCTAAGACGGGCTCAAGCAGCAGCAATACCGGCCAGAACCCATCGAAACCAGCTAACAAATGGGCTGTTCCCGCGACGATTGCTCTTCCAGGCCCTGCCACCCCCAACGCTTCGAGCAGCAACACGACTGCCCAGGAACACTCGGAGCCGCCCAAGAACTGGATCGTTCCCGCAAACAATGCTATTCCAGGATTAGTCGCTACCACCCCTGGTGGTGAGGCCGCGACAGCTCAAGCGTCATCGGCCAGAAAGTCATCTTTCGGTTCTCTGTTTGGATCATCTCCCGCCCAAGGACCTGCGCCCTCTCCCGCGCCCTCTCCCGCGCCGGACGCCACTGGGGATGTGTCCATGGAGAATGCTGAGCCGCAGAACGAAACGATGGCAGACCTCTTTGGCGAAGAATTCGAGAAGGAAGTGGACCGCGAGCTGGATGCAATGAAGGAAGAGGAGGAGCAAAAGAAGTGGAAGAAGATGATCGAGACGGAAACCCTGAGGAGAGAAGAGGCGTGCAAGAAGATGCTCCAAAGTTCCGCGTTCACCCTCAACGTCCCCATTAACACATCCACTGGGCAAGCGACCGCAGAGACGCAGCCCACCTCGTTCTTCCAGAATCTTGCACCTCCTCCAGACCGAAAGATCGCGCAGCCTCGGGGCCAAACACCCGCAAAGCAAGAGACCGAAGAGACGCAGCCCAACCCACTCTTCGCAGCTTTTCCGGAAAGAAAGATTGCGAAGCCTCGTCGCCGAATCACTCAGGAGCCTGCCCCGCCACCGCCAACACCTCCTACTCCGAAATTCGGGAACAAGAAGGTCCGCCACCCTCGTCATGCGCAAAAGGCTCCCAAGAAGCTCCCCAACGGCGAAGCCCCGAAGGGCCCCAGCTAGGAACCGGGGTCCCCGTCCATCAAGACGGATCAGCCTATGGAAGGGGTAGAGGAGCCCAGCGAGCCGCAGACTACTGCCACCGAGTCCGCGCGCCCCAAGACTGCTCGCAAGCAGCCGGTCACCAGCAATCCTGATCGACCCAAGACCGCGCGGAAGGCGCCAGTCAAAAGACCAACGCAGTGGAATCTCGACGTCGAAATCGAAGACGGCGAACCGCCCCTCCTCATGGTCTACCATGCCGACGAGACTCCCGAAGAATGCGTGAGGAAGTTCCTGGACGACAACGATCTGCCCCTCGCGTTTCTCGAACGGCTAATGAACTTCATCAAGAAAAATGTCAACCACGAAGAACCCGAGCCCGAGCCCGTCCCGAAGGACAGAAATATCAAGACCGCCCGCCGCCGCGTGGCCGACCGCAATTTCATGGACAAAGAGTCCCTTACCCCCGACCGCGAACCGTGGGTTCGATCAGATCCCGTCGCGCAGGCTTCCAACCAAGCGCCTGCGACTCCCCGCCACCCCCCGCCCAAGAGAGCTGTACCGCAAGAGGACGCCGGGGCATACCTCCACCGACTGCGAGAGCTTGCGGCCGGAGGAGCATACACCGTTCGTCCAACCTTCCAATCACGCTCCCCGAAGCCCTTCACCGACCCGTTCCCCAAGGAGGGCGACCCAGAGTTTGGAAAGCACCCCGACGCGGATTACCTGCCTCCGGGCAGCAACGACACGGAAGACGAAGACTCCGATCAGGAGATGCAAGAAGAAGACTCGCACGAAGAGTCAGAGTTCAACATGAACTGGTACAGCAATATCAATGGCCCAAATGCCAACGATGAAGGCGATAGCCAAGAGGCTCACAGCCCGGATGCCCACGGCCCAGATCTCTTTGGCCCTAACGGAATAGATTTCGACGTGGCAAAGGACTTCGACATTGGCGATAATACTGGCATGTTCCTATGCAAATACAAATAGGGTACACGAGCGAGGGGATGATGTTGGATTACGACACTAAGATTGGTTTGCGACGTTTGTTTAGTTTTGATGACTTTTTTCTTGCTTTTCGCCGATGGTAGGCACAGGTTTTGTTTGCAATGTTTCCGCCCGAGGAAAGGGCTTGGTCTAGGTCAGAGATGGTCAACTAAAATTGGTGTGGAAGGTTAGGAAGGATATGGACCCAGACCGAATGAATACAATGATGCTTCGATAAAATCGTGCCCGTGATCGCGAGTGGCGACATGCCTTGGAGCTGCCGGCGTTGGCAACGTCAAAAATGTGCATCAGATGATCCCAGAGTTCCATTCATCCATTATCTAAAAGTCCTCGATATCAAGCCCATCAACCTTGCCCAGGAAATCCCCGCCTCCACCCCTCAACAGCTCATCCACATCCACACCACCCGCCGTCAGATACTTCTCGCTCACGCCCGCATTCACCCTCTTGGCCAACAGCTCCCTCAGCTGCGCCCTCATGGCCCCCATCTCCGCCTTGGTCAGCCCCTGGTTCTCCTTGAGCTTCTTCTTCCGCTGGCTGCCGCGGCCGCCCCAGGAGCCCGCCTTCTCGAGCTCCTCCGAGTCGTACTCGACGCCCAGCTCCTCCGCCGCCGCGCGCGCCCAGTCGTCCTCCTTGTTGCCCTTCTCCTTGGCCAGCGTCGCGTCCGCCAGCTTCTTGGCCAGGTCCACGCGCGGCTTGAGCTTGGAAGCGACGCGCCGGTCGATGTCGATCGTGCGCATGAGGTACTTCTTCTTGCTCGCCTGCTCGGCGTGCACCTTGGCGGCTAGGCGGCGCGTCGGCACGACTTCCTCCGGCCCGCAGAGGATGATGCTCAGACCTGTACGCTCTGCGCGCGCCGTACGTCCGGAGCGGTGGACGTACATGTCTGCTGCGCGGGGAACGTGGTAGTGCACGACTTGGTCGATGCAGGGAATGTCGAGACCGCGTGCGGCGACGTCGGTGGCGATGAGGACGGACGTCGTGCCCTCCTTCGTGGCTGTGAAGCGCTCGACGGAGCGAAGACGAGCCTTTTGCGGCATTTGCGAGTGGAGAGCTAGCGCGTTGAGGTTGAGGTTCTGGAGGAAGGGCGTGAGGCGGCGGACGGCGGAGATGGAGTTTGTGAAGACGAGGGTGCGGCGGTTCGGGTTGAGGAGCAGGACGGTGTAGAGGTAGAGGTCCTTCTCCATGGCGCCGCACTCGATGAGGCCTTCCTTGAGGCCGGCGGCCATTTGCGCAACGGGGTTGACGTCGATGAGCTTGGGCTTTTCTTCGCGGAAGTTGAGGCGTTTGAGGAGGTACTCCATCGATTCCTCCTCCGACATCAAGCCCCATTTGCCCTTGCCTGCGAGCTTTTGTTGCAGGCCCTTGTGAAAGGTGGCGGAGAAGACGAGGGTCTGGCGCGGTGTGAGATTTTGTTTGTCTTCGTCCTCGTCGAGGGCCTCGCGGTCGAGTGCGTCAAGGATCTCGCCTGCTTCCTTGAAGTGGCCTTCGCTGAGCAGCCTGTCGGCCTCGTCGACCACGAGGTAGCGGATCTTCTTGAAGCCGGACAACAGTTCTGTGCTGGAACTAATGACCTCCCAGAGACGGCCGGGTGTACCAATGACGATATCGGCCTTGGCGAGCTGGCGCTGCTGCTTAAAGACGGAGAGACCACCAGTGACGGAGCAGACGAAGGGGGCGTTGGTGAGGCCTGCGCAGAGGTTCTTGATGTGGTTCGTAATCTGGTGCGCGAGTTCTCTCGTCGGGGAGAGAATTAGGGCGGTAGGGGCGTGCTCGGTGTCCTTCTCGCCGTCCTTGGCGTCAAATTTCTCGATCCAGTCCTCGACGATGGGAATCGAGAACGCGAGCGTCTTACCGGAACCAGTGGACGCCTTTCCGATGACGTCGTGGCCGGCGAGGATCTCGGGTATGGAGGATTTTTGGATGTTTGACGGCTTTGTAAATTTGAGCTTCGCGATGGCGGACACGATGGCCGGGGAGAGACCGAGGTCGATCCATTGGCTCATGTCAAGGTCTTCTTCGGCTTCCTCTGCGGCCTCGAGGGCGGTGAACACGTTGCTCTCAAGCTTGGCGTCCTCAGGCTTCGGCTGTGTCTTCTTCTGCTTTTGCTTCTTCTCCTTCTTCTTTGCGCCTTCGGGGGCATCGGCGTTCGGTTCGGCGGCGGGCTCGTCTGTTGAGTCGGCAGGTTTCTTGCTATCCTTTGCTTTTTGCTCCTTCTTGGCCTTCTCTTTCTTGGCTTTCTTTGTCTCCTTTTGTACTTCCTCCTTCTCGGCGGCCGGCGCAGGGGCAGGCTCAGAGTCGCTGAAGCCTTCGAACTCGTCTTGGTCCATCTCGTCGGCGGTGGGAAGAGCAGTCACCTTTGGGGTGGTCAGCCATGGTTGGGATTGCTTCCAAGGGGGACAAATACTCACAAACTCGACCTGGTCGCCCTTCTTGACGATGTCAACGCCCTCAATCACCTCCAAGCCGTAGAAACCCTCCGCATCGTCGAACATCTCGGGCACGTCGACCTTCTTCCATGGCAGCTTGCTGACGGCGACACTGCGCTTCTTGGGCGCGGTTTTGACGATGCCGGACTTTTGGCGCTTCTGGGGTGCCTGACTGGCATTGGAAGGCTGATGCTTTCTCTTCTGCTTCTTGAGTTGGTCCATGGCGGCAGCGGTTGTGGTGGTTGTTGTCCTCGTGATGGGTGTTCGGACTGAAAATGCCCCGCGGAAATTCTGCAGCAAATTTCCAGCAGCATTCGCGCCGAGCAACTGCCGCCAGAGCTCAGTGCTTCTGCCAGAAAATTTTAGCGGACCCGGAACATACTTCGCCCGAGAAGGTCCCCGGTGTGGAGCTGCACTACGCACCGACCACAGCTTAATTCAGCCCTACGGCCGCCGTCACCGCTGCAGCAAATTTTTTGCCGCTGGAACTGGACCCCTCCAAAAATCTACCCCTCCATCTCGCTGTGTCTTGCCGATTGAAGCATCCCCCACCAGATCGTACATCAGCCACGTCAACACCAACACCTAGTCACCATGGGTAAATCTTCCAAGGACAAGCGCGATGCTTACTACCGTCTTGCCAAGGAGCAAGGCTGGCGTGCACGCAGTGCATTCAAGCTGCTGCAGCTCGATGAAGGTGACTCACTTTACCCCGCCATGCATGAAGTTCCCGTGCTGATGCGTTCGTAGAGTTTGACCTGTTCGCCAATGTGACGAGAGTCGTTGACCTGTGCGCCGCCCCTGGTAGTTGGTCCCAGGTCCTGTCTCGTGTCCTTATCAAGGGCGAGAAGTTCGGCCGTTCGGCATGGCAGGATCGCGAGGCCAAGTTCCGCCAGGAGATGCTCGGTGTCTTCCCCTCTGCCCTTGAGTCCGAGGCACCTGAGAAAGCCGAGACCGAAGCTCAAGAGCCCCAACCCAGGAAAGACGTCAAGATTGTATCGATCGATCTCCAGCCCATCAGCCCTCTGCCTGGCATCATCACCCTGCGTGCAGACATCACTCACCCTGCCACCGTTCCCCTGCTCCTGAAGGCTTTGGACTCCGACTACGACGCCACGACCAAGAGCAAGCAGGCCTCCAGCCCCGTCGACCTCGTCATCAGCGACGGTGCCCCTGACGTCACTGGCCTCCACGACCTCGACATCTACGTGCAGTCCCAACTCCTCTTCGCCGCGCTCAACCTCGCCCTCTGCGTGCTGAAGCCCGGCGGCAAGTTCGTCGCCAAGATCTTCCGCGGCCGCAACGTCGACCTCCTCTACGCGCAGCTAAAGGTCTTCTTCGAGACAGTCATCGTGGCGAAGCCCAGGTCCTCCCGCGCGAGCAGTGTCGAGGCCTTCATCGTCTGCATCAACTTCCAGCCCCCCGCCGGCTTCCAAGCTAGCCTGGAGAACCCGCTCGGCGTGGGCCACGAGTTGCCTAAGATGGTTGAGGAGAGAACGGCCCAACTTCCCGTTGTCGCTGATGCGCTCATGCAGAACCCTATCACTGGCACCTGGGATACTGCCCCCACCGCTTCCGCGACCAAGGGCGAAGGCGAAATTGTCGAGGTCGAAGCCTACGACGAGACGGACGAGACCACTGACCACGAGAAGCACATCAGATGGATTGCACCCTTCATCGCATGCGGCGACCTTTCAGCATTCGACTCTGATGCTTCCTACCAACTGCCTGAAGACCACGTTTCTCTCGACCCTGTCCAGCCTCCTACCGCACCCCCTTACAAGCGTGCCATCGAATTGAGAAAGGCCGCCGGCGGAGCCTACGGCAAGACCTCCGTCAAGGTATAAGCCATAAAACCGCGACAAGACCACTCCGACGGTCTCAATAGTCGTCCCCATCCGACGGCCCATCCGGCATCGCGGGCCCGCGCTTCTCCAGCAGATACAGCTTCCCGTCATGTGACGCCCCCCATTCCGTCGTCCCCAGCGTCTTCTCATACAACTTGCTCGCCTGCGGCGACGACGTCAAGAGGAGGAATCGCCGTAGGTCGGGCCACTCGTTCAGGACCTCGTTTAAGCACTCCATCAACCACGGCGCGAGGCCCTTGCCCTGGTGCGCCTGCAGCACGTACACATCGGACAGATACGCCAAGCTCACGTAATCCGTGACGACCCTCGCGAGGCCAACCAGCTCAGGCCCCTTCTTCCCTGCGCGATGTGAGCATTCATTCAGAGGACAATAACAGAGTGACGAACCTGCAATCTGGGAGGTGGAATGGGGAAGCTTGTACACGCCTAGACACAGCGAGTTATCAATCATCCGCCGCAACACGCCCTCATCCACGCGCTTCGCCCACCACAGCAACTCCGAGTCGAAGGCGTCATTGATGGCATCCAGCTGGAGGAGCGAGCGATCGGTGGAGATGAGGTAGTCGTCCTTGTACCACTGCTTCGTAGGCATCTGGTTCGGCATCGTGTCTGGTACTGTGGGATTTCTCCTTTGCTGCCCAGGGCGGTGTTCAGTGGCGCAAGGGAGGACGGAGATGTAGTTGAAAAATGCCTGAAACCTTGTCGGCGCAGCGCCCGGTCCGTAGACGTACGCAAAACTCTAGACGAGGCTTAAATAAACGCCAAAAAAGACAACGGGAGGATCGAGCGTTGTGTCCGAAAACGTCATTTCTCGCCGCCCGGGTTGGGGTCTGTGAGGTTCCCATCCTGCCGGGGTGAACTCTATGTTTGTGTCTCCTCTTTTGCCGGGCATGTTTGCTATACCGCTCTTGGTAAGGTTGGTCCGGATGGGGAGATTCGGTCCCGTGCCGATCGTCGCCACGCGGGGGAATGTGGGGTTGAGCTCCGGGCGCTGAACGTGGTCTTGTCTTGGAGGATTCTCACGATAATTACCCGAGCATGAAGATTCGGCCATATGTATTCGAAGGAGACCGCATCTTTCGCGTACATCTTTTCAGCTCATGGGCTGGAGTCAATAAGGCTACCTTACCCAGCAGGCAGCCAACTTGATAGATGGTTGCTGCCTTAGGCCCCACCACAGAAGGTGAAGCTGCGGTACCTACCCTCATGGGCAACGTCCGTTTCTGAGTCTATCACCAACAAGCATCCGGCCAGATGGTCGAGGGGTGGTTGTGCGATGACTAGCGACCTGCGTTGACGTTCCGCGGCTACTCATGGCACGAATCGTTCGATCCTCGATAGCGCCACTGTTGGACCATTCTCTTTTTTTGGTCTCAAAAGTCGGATTGTTTTATTTTTCCTCCGTCCACTCAGTCGCTTCGACAGACGACAACAGTAGAAAGAATAATGATGATTGAGACGACGGATCAAGAAAGTAGATCTCGCAAAATCTAAGGAAGAAGAGTACTGAAGCTACAGACTGACTTGATTGCGTAACATGCAACTTTCCTCCTCGTTCTCCGCGTTGTCGTGTTGAGTAGAGTGAGCTGTCCGGCTGCCTGTCCTCTGTCGAGTTTGACCGACACGCACGACAAGACGCTTTATCTTCAAAACAAGGAAGGAGCGGGAACAATGCTCCCTCCTTCAAATTTTCCTTCCGCCTTCTTGCCTGAATCTCTTTCAGGTTGAGCTTCTCACCAACAAACAAGTACAAAGACTCTGGCATCAACCAGAAGCAGCTTGTCTTTGCCCACTAGACTTGCTTTCAACTTGCTTCAATCGAAAGAAATGTGAGCTTGTTCCCATCCAATTTTCACCCTAATACTTGCTGACATTACCTGGACCAGAGCCTTGACCTTCGTCCCACTATGGAGCAAGTCCATCGAATTCTTGCCGAGCTCTCCGGGGAATCTCGTGACATTGCTCTGCGCCGCGCCCTCGAGGAGACGGCCCGGGACCACATCATTGGTCTCCTCATGCACGAGGACTACGACCGCGTTACCCAGTGGTACGCCCACGACGTTACAATGGTGTTGGGTCTAGATACCACACTCGACGGCGAGATCCTCAAGGGCCACGACGAGGTTATTCAGCACTTTGCCAACCTCCAGGAGCAAACCGACATCGTCGTTGTGCCTGTCCTTACTATCGCCGACCGCGGCCGAATAACCGCGTATACCGAGACGTATTACAGGTGGCTGGGCAAGGACGACAAGGACGACAAGGACGACGGCGAAACGTTCGTCGAGGAGCCTGTTGAAGCGCCCTTTGTGGGCTGGCCGGCGGTTGTATTCGGCGATGTTCTCAAGGTACGCGAGGTGGTCGTGTTTGACCTCAACGCGGAGATGAAGGTCAAGCGTGTGGAATGGCGCCAGTTGGGAATGGAGCACCTTGGAGAAGCCAGCGTCGACGCTCTTGCATTGCAGAGTGAGAAGCTCAAGGTTCGTATTCAAGGGGATGTATGATGGATTGCCATCTGAGGCCGGACTGGAAGGAACCTGTTATGAATTGCATGGGATTGGGTACACTGCCTCAAAAAGAACAGAAATGGCATACGGAGAGGGGCTGGCTTATACGGAAATACCCTGCAAACGTCTGTCCATTATACTTGATAACCTGCCACCCGGGTGGATTTTCAAGTGGAAGGAACTATCACAACCCTTGAGGACATCCTTGACGGCTTGACCCTGGAGCAAGTCCGCCCTGAAAACCTGTTCTCTCCCGTGCACCATCTCCGTTACGACTTAGGTCTCTGTAAACTCAGCTGCGAACCTCGGAACAGAGGCATTTCTCCTTCGCCCAGTTTCGTTGTACTGTAACAGACTCAAGCACATCTTCCTTGAGACACACCAATCAACCACAAACGCAAATCGCAGCTTCCTCCTGCCCCCAAGCGCACCATGAGCTCAAGAAACCAACACACACGGTTCCAAGTCTTCGCGGATGAACTGACCGGCGACTCACGCGACCGCCCCCTGCGATACGAGATCGAAAACAAAATCAGCACCTCCTTCGACGACATCAACGAGAAACGCTGGGCGAGCGTCAAGAGCTACTTCAACGATGACGCCCGAGTCATCTTTGGCTTCAGATTTCCAAACCAAATCATCGACAAAGACGTTGACCTGGTGATCGAGCGGATCAGAGAGAAGACCGACGGCATGCGGCGCGTCACGGTGCCTACCTTGGTGCTCGTGGACCGAGGGCGGGTAACTTGCTTCCTGACCAACTTGTGGATCGAGATCGACGAAAGAGATGACGACGCGACGCTGGATCTCGTCGAGGCAGACACGCTGTTTGGAGAAATGCACGAGGTGGCTATTATCGACCTGGACGACGAGTACAAATTCAAGCGTGTCGAGTTCCGGACTACGACTCGGCAGGAGATAAGACAAAGGGGGACCGTGGAGGATTTCGAATATTTGGTGCGGAAAACGAGAAGGAGCGAGTATTATGTGGTCGAGTCCGACGAATAATGTTGATACTCCATTGAAAATTCTTCTGTTAGCATATAGGTGAAAAAATCGAAAAAACTCGCTCGCACGCTGTTCGTGTTCAACCTACCTGCCGTCTCCACAACAGCATCTCACCTTTTGCCTCGCCCTAACCGATGGCCGCTCTTGCCTTTTCCTTCGCCCCCATCCTTCTGACTCCTGCCAAAGGGGTTTAAATTGTTCTGTCATCGTCGCATCCGCCATCGCAACCATCATGTCGACTGAGAACGAGTACGACCGCGCAGACTTCGATGTATACGTCGCAGAACTGGCTGGTTCGTCTCACGACCGTGCTATGCGCCCAGCTATCGAGCAAATGGTGCGTCAATTCTTCCGCGCGACCAGTGGCACCAAAATCGACGTCGATGTCGCCATGAGCTTCTTCAGCGACAACCCAACCGCCATCGAAGCCCTTAAAGGACTTGGTGAAATATATATTGGAGCGGCTATGTTAAAGAAATGGATTGAGAGCTGGGGCGAGGAGAGGGCGCAAACCGTCCAGAACATAGTTGTTGTGGACAGAGGCCACGTCACTTGCCATGTCGTCACCTTCATTTTCGATGACGAGAACCCCGAGATCTTCAATGAGTACCACGGCGTTATCATCATGGATTTGGACAAAGGCAACCGCATCGAGCGTTACGAGTCCCGCGCTACCACCCGCGAAGCAAAGGAGCACAAGGGAGGAATAAAGCGATTCGATGCTCTCGTCGAAGAGGCCGAGGAGGACGCCATTACCGTTGACTGCTTGTCTTGATCGGGAGGACTAAGGAACCAGAGCAAGGTAGGTTTCACTGTTGACGCATATTGCGTCTTGCCAGAAAAGCACTTCTAATATGTTGCCAGATTTGAGCGAAAACATCTGCTGCCTATTTCGCCTTTCGTTCTTGTCGTCTTCGTTCTCACCACGTTCCGTGCTCATCACCGTCGATGTTGACTTCGTCTTCGACACCACCATCACTGCTCTGAAGACTGCCCACTACGTGGACAACAACGCTGGGCAGACACACATAATATCCGGAGGGCATCATCAGTGGGGATACTAGGCAGTCATGGAGCTAGATAGCTATCATGAATTCAGAGACACCTTTTCCATGAGCAAATGCGCGTAAATAGCCTCATTTATCTGTCTACTGAAACTCCTCACTCCCAGGGCCAGATGTTGTATACGTGAGGTCTTACCCACAGAAAATTGAAAAGCTTTGCCGCCTGAGACAGAGTTCCAGACATGCCTTCCAGGTGCGCAGTTGGATCAACTCCACGTGAGATGCTTCGACTCGCTGGCCATATTTGGCATCTATCTGCTATGATTGGTAGAATGGCGTCGTCCGACAAAGTTCTCAAGCACCCAAAGCGGTGGATTCGCGCCACCCTCTCCCCGCGCTTTCCCCCCCAAAAGTTTTGTCGCAAGCCACCACCTAGTCTCCATCCCCAAAACAACAAGACTGACTCGGTAATGGTAAAAGGAATCGAAAAAGACGGAATCACGCTCTCAAGTCTCGAAAGACCCATAACGCGCCGTAAATACACGGATACGGATTCAACCACTTCCTCAGGTAAGACATCCTCCCCTCTGAAAATTCCACGACTGAAATCCTAACTCGTCATAGAAACCATGGACACACCCGGAACACCCTCGAGCGAAAGCCTGGGAACCACGGCAAGCTACATCCCCGTCTTTGCACCCCGCTCGCGGGATGCAAACAATAGCAGTCCCGAGCCTCCCGAGCCCGCGTCCCGCGAGGACTTCGATCGCCTCGAGAAGGAAGTCTCCAGCCGCTCCTACGATATCGCCATGCAAAGCATCCACGAGACCGCTATGCGAGAGTTCATCAGCGCCATCAGCTGGAGCCGGTGGTCTACAGTTCAGGCCTGGCTCGCGGACGATGTCGAATTCGTCCAGGTCCCGCTTCGTTTGGGCGGCATATGCCATGGCGCCAAAGAAGTCGTTACCCATTTCACCGAGATGCAAGCCAGCGGACCCGTTTATTTTGAGGTCGACTACATGATTGTAGACCAAGGATACGTCACGTCCATCGTTGAGATGAGCCAGGACATCCCTGCCGAAAACGTCCGTACCGAGCAAATTATTGCCTGGATCATCAGCCTCGACGATGACAACAAGATAATCCGTATGGAACACAGAGATATCGGAGCGAAGAAGTACCGCCAATTGAACCCATCTCATAGGTGTTCCGAGGGCGACTACTCAGAGTTCCAGATTTAAGTCTGGTCTTCTGGTGGAGGACGAGGAAGCTGCAAGGAACGACCTCCTTGTCCATGATAGTCAATTATGGATTACTCAGTTGCTACGTTGTTCACAACGGAGACCCTTCAACATTGGTAAGACCTAATCTGGAAAGAGACATTTTCAGCAATTCCGAAAAGATTTTCACAGTTAAGATAACGTATGGAAAAGAAAATGTTTTGTGAGCTTGAAGTTACCCTGCAAAGAGTGCTAGGCAATTAGAAGCAGCAGTTGTAGTCCTGAATCTTTTCATGGGAAGGTGATTTTGCAATCTCCTTTTGTTTTGAAAACACAGTGAGTGTTCTTGATGAATGATGTCTGAGTACATGAACGGTTGTCTTGCTCAAGTCCCAAGCTTCCTGCCTGACCAAAGTGCTATTTTTCACCCTGTCATGATATCAAATCCTCCCGCCCATGTCCTTGCAAAATGCACCTATCCTCCGTTTCAATTGCTCCTGAACGCATGGTCCTGCCACGTTAGTTGCGTGCTCAGAAGGATTGGTAGATGCGCCTGCTCTTCGAATCCTCCAACATCTTGTCAAGCTCGTCCATGTGGAATTTCGTCTCTCGAATGATGCGTTGCTCGACGCGCCGGAACCTGCAGCTGCTGTCGAGATCGAGAATGAAGACGTACGTGGTCTTTGTGAATCCGAGACTGTCCTTGGAGCGCAGGAAAACTTCGACGTGACAGGTGATGCGGCCGCGGTCGATGAGGATGATGATGGGCACGGCCGTTCGGTGCAGGCGATCCAATTTCTGAAAGGCCACCGCAATGCCCTTGTGACCGGTGAGGCTGCCCTCGGGCCGCGCGTATCCCTCCGTATGGCGCAGCATGTCGATGTTCTCGACGTACCACTCCGTGAAGCCATTGGGGTGATAGTCGGCCCAGTCGAAGAGGTAGTTGAGTGTGTGTTTGTAAGCCTCCTGTCGGAAATTGGAATCTTGGGTTGCAATGGAGATGTTCGCGCCACCCCTGAGAGTGACCAAGTCTCTGACTGACTTCCGGATGTCGGTGGCCGACATCTGGTGCTCTTGCTGTGACATCTTCGCGATGAGTTTGTTTGGGAAGCCTTTCGTGCCAGACGAATGGATAGTGTGCTTTGCGAGATGTGTTCTGAATGGGAAAGTTGTTGCAAGTTGAGATGTTTGGTGAGAGAACTTGAAGGATTGAAGAAGAGGGAGTTCAGACTTTATAGACGCCAGGCGAAGGCATTCCAACGGCGGGCATCTCACCCTGGAGGACAGTGAATTTGAGTAGATGGGATGAAGATTGACATGCGGAGGAGAAGCCTACTGTAGGTCCAATCGGCAAAGCACCACGGCCTAACTGGCAGATATCCTCCTCGAGGCGCATCGCTTCCTGCTATTTACCCTGCCAGATTTTATTCACCTCGAGCTCACCTTGGCCTATGAGCCCCACAATTGCTCCTACTCCTGCCTGATGGTGTCGCTCCGTCCTTCACGCTCCCAATTCAAGGAAATTCACTGCAGCCTTTCGCCAACCACAACCACCACCACACCACATCCAATCCAAAGATCGATGCCAAAATGACAGCTCCTGGTGACGAAGAGAGCTTCCGCCGCCTTCTGGAAGAAATGTCAGGCGGCTCCCGAGATTATGGTATTCGAAAGACACTGGATCAGAGAGTTCGCGCCTACTTCCAGAGCCTTGACATCGGACGCCCCGACGAAATCGCGAGTTGGTACGCCAACAACGTCATCCGAATAACGAATACACAGGTGCCCGGAGGCATATTTAAGGGCACGGCAGAGGTCCTCGCCAGTCACCAGAATGATTATTCGAATCAAAGGAGAGGAGGATGGTCTGCTATTACAGTCCCCTCCTGGGTCATTGTTGACCGAGGAAGAATCACCTGCCGCATCGAGCGATTCTTCTACAAAGATATCTGCAAAGAGGTAAGAAAGTACACCAGTGTCTTGGTATTTGATCTGGACTCGACCGGACATGTGAAGAGGGTCGAGTACAGACGGATCAAATACTCCATCGAGGACGGACCCGTTGAGGAGCTTATTGAGGAGGCGAAAGCGAAGCAGGAAGACATGCAGACCTCCCTCGAGGCCTGAGCCTACGTCTCTACATTACGTATGCTCCAAATCTCTCCCCAAATGGCGCCGGTCGTCCCCATTCCAAAACCTGTGCTGACTTCATGGAGATAGGCTCGCGCAAGGAAAAGCAGCAACACCAAGAACAGTGACAAAGACAGCCGAAGACGTACAAAGGCATCGAGGATAACGCAGAAAACAGTGGATGAAGTTAGTGGAGACAAACGCGGGAAACGACTGGGTGTTACCTTCATGGTCTCTGCAGGGAAGCAGCAAACATCTGGCGGATAGAGAACCAGGGAGATCCGTTTGTGCAGGACAGCCATTATTGTGGCACGAAGTGCTGCAAACATCGAAGAAAGAATCAGAAGCCTTGGAATTGCACCCCCTACGCTGCTTGTTTGTGTTCCGTGTTCTATTCGTGGTGCTTCGATTTGCACTCTCCCCTGCCAAGTACGCTGTAAACGATGGCGGCGAAGATGACAGACTGAAGATATATAAAACATCGGTGACGCACGGGATTTCTCACTAAAATACGGATTCAGCATCGACAATCACAATCAGTCGGCCTTCGACATTTCTACTCTCCCCCAACGATAAAGGCGTAGCCATCGACCTGTCGCCATGGATCTCTCGATTTTCTCGAAGAAATATTTCTCGAAATATTATTTCGACCAACCTCAAGATTTGGCACGCATCCTCGACGAGATTTCAACCGAGTCTCGCGCCATCAGCATGCGTCCCTTTCTCGAGAGGATGGCGAAACATCTGCTGCACCTTCTAGAGTTGGATCCTACCTCATTCGACGACCGTCGCTCATTCTGGTTGGACCCCAACGCGACTATGATATTTGAAAGCGACCCTGGCCGTTCGATCGAGGACGGTTGGAATATGTTTGTTGGCAAAAAGGAAATCCAGGAGTTCTTCATTAAGCTTGATGAATCGATCAGACGTCGGTTCGAAACCACACACCTCGATTTCATTCTGGTCGTCGCAGACCGAGGTCGCATCACTTCTCTCTACAAGCGCCACAGGAATAATAAACACGGATCGGACGAGGATATTGACCTTATCCTTGTGATTATGGATCTCAACGCGTCCAACAACATTGAGCGCCTGCAGTATCGTTATCTGGAGGAGAGCGAGTATGCCGTTAAGGACAGGTGGGAAAGGTCATCGGAATCGATGAAGAAGCGTGGTCTGATTATTCCGAAGCGGGAAGAATGAATGGAACAAAGAACCTGGCAATTTGGGCAGGCAAGACTTGGAGATTAGTGGACAGCTCTTTTGTGGAAGCCGGAACAGATCTGGGTACTTGATTTGAAAATTGAAGGAAGTTGGCGAGAGGTTGCTATGCTTTATTTACACATCCATTGTGGCAAAATGTCTTGAATCGAAGGGCAGTTAACGGAAACAGCAAAGACGACGAGGACGACGAGGACGGGCGAGACAAGAACGATAGGGATGAGGAGAAAACTAAAGAGAATGCGAGCGATGAATAGTTCCAGCGATAGGGTAAGATCTAGGCCAGAATGCACTTGGGGTAGGGAGGCGCGAAAAGTCTGCGTGTAGCTTACGCCTGCCTGTATCGGTCTTCTCAGATATCCATGGATACTTCCACCTTTCCTCTCATCTTCGATTCAACAACCCACACCTCCCTGCAACACCACCAGCATACTGTGAAGCAACGATTGAGTCCCAAGCTCAAGCAAAGGTGCGAATCACTTTTCCGAGTCCAAAGCAATTACGGTGCCGTACTGACTACCTTACTCATAGCTTCCGCAATGGACATCCCAGACCACATGATGTTCTCTCGCCGCCTCGCTGAGCTGGCCGGCCAATCCCGCGATCACAACCTGCGGCCCTTGCTCGAGGAACGAGCCAACAACCTCATTGATGATCTGTTTTGGGGTGAAGACGATCTCGCGTCTGAGTGGTTCGACGCCAACATCAGCTTGGTGATCAACCTCAAACAAAACCCGGGCACGATTTTCCTCGGCAAGCATGAGGTGATGGAGTACTTCAAGAAACTCTACGAAGAAGAAGACACTTACCAGTTGCGTCGTTTGAACTTCGTTCTCATTAGCGCGGACCGAGGTCGTGTCACTTCCCACATCGAACAGTTCTCTGCACAGTTCAACGTGGACAGCCCGGTCGGCCCGACAAAGAAAGAAGTCATCCTCGTTACAATGGATCTCAACGATTCCAACAAGATCCAGCGCATGGAGTACCGTCTTCTTTGCAAAGAGCATGATGCAGAGCAGACCCCGCATTGGGATTGGGATGAAACTGTCGATTCTCTCAAAACCAAGCCCGTCGTCATCGACTACAACATCTGAGTGCGAAGCCAGTGAGCGCCAGAGAGGGCAAGAGCGATAATAGAGGATGACGAGGAGGAACGGTGAGGCAAGACGACAGAAAAGACAGAAAAAGCATTCGAACTGAGATTGAGAGGTGGAAATCGCATGGAAGAGAGAAGATATTATCAAAATGGATTCAATGGAATACTAAAATAGCCACCCGACTGCGCCATCAAAGCCTATCACTTCCCGAATGCAAACTTGAAAACATTCCCCGGATCAAACTTCTCCTTCAGCCTCTTGACCGTCTCCCAGTGATCCCCATAAACCACCTCCATCGCAAATTGCCCCTTCGGCAGCAGCGAGTAGTACCCCCCCTCAATCACCCCATCCAACTTGACCAGCGCATCCCTGTACCCATCCGCCCACTCCTTGGCTTCTTGGCTCTTCTCCTTCGTGACCGTAAGCCCGACAATCTCCAGCAAGTTGTGCTCCTCGCGCCACCTGAACACACCAGGCAGATGGTCATCGCGAGATGCCTTGCCACGCAGCTGGTGCATACTCAGCAACGCACCGTCTCCAGGAAGCTTCGTCGCAAACTCGGCATACAAGTCCGCCATGCCCTCCGAGAGGGCAAGCGTCTTGGTGCTGACGCCGTAGGAGCTGCCGGGGATAGTCGTCGGAGACGTCAAGGCCGTGACCTGCGCAATCATAGCGGAGGGGCTCGTCGGCGCGACCATCTTCATCGCCACGGGAGCAAGCTTGCAGATCTCTTCGAGCCAGGCGTCTGACTCATCCGACGCAGGACCATTCCAGGTGAAAGCGCAGGCGAATTTCTTCCCCATTCCTGGGACCTCGACAACGGCGGGCTGAATGCAAAGTAGGTCTGGCAGGGTCTTTTCCTTTCGAAGCTTGGCCCAGTTCGTCCAGAACGTCTTGATGGTGCCTGCGAAGTCGGTTGAGTCGAACATGATCAAGCCGCCTTGGATCTGCAGGTGTGTTAGTACCACCTCAACCGCCATTTTGGAAAGCTCTTACCTCGGTCTTTGGGTAGACCTTGATCTCAATCTCAACAATAACACACAAGGCTGGCCCGGCACCCCGGATTCCAACTAACAGCTCCTCGTCGGCATCGATCAGCTCTCCGCTCGCCAGCACAACCTTAGCTCCGAGAATCTGATCAACTCCCAAACCCACGCTGGCGGTGAAAAACGAGTAGCCTCCCAGCGTAGCCCATCCAACGTACCCAACGCTTCCCACCGTGCCAGTCGGCGTCATCAAGCCCTCCTTCTCCAGCGCGGCTTGTAGATCAGCATTTAGTACCCCGCCTCCAAGTCGTGCGGACTTCTTGTCGGGAGAGACACTGACATGATTGATGTCGCGCATATCAATCTGCAGGATGCCGTCGACGGTTGAGCGGGCTGACATGTCATGCCCGCCTGAGCGGATGACGAAGGGCGTCGAGGTCTTGCTGCAGTGGGACACCAGAGCTGCGACATCTTCGGCAGATTGAGGACGGGCGATGAGCCGCGGAATGGCGGGGGTAGAAACAAATGTCTGGCGGAGGGAGTGGAAAGTCTCATCGGAAGGTGAGTAGGTCTTGATAGAGGGGTGCTTCTCGAGGAAGTCTTCCAAGGTGGCGAGGGAGCCCATGATGTTCGAGAATTATCGCGCTGTTTATCAATCTTTTGTTAGCAAAGATTCCAGAAACGATGGAAAATTGGGTACCATGCAGAAATTGTTGAAATAAATCTGACAGCCAGCTTTATGGCTTGAAAGCCTGCCGTCAGCTCCGAAGCCAACTCTTTGTCATCCAAAAACGCCCATCAGCGTGTCTTACCATGGCAGATCCTCCCCGAGGACATTTGGCGCTGCTGATTGGCGCCCAAAAGATCTTTCGCTTCTGCGGGGAGCTAGACACAGGGGGACTGAGACAATTGTTTCCCCCATCGGGAGAGGAGCGGTATCTTGCAGCCTGGACTTGTAAGCACTAGCGGATAAGGATGTGAGGTTGGATGCGGGGCCGGCAACGTCCGGAGACGGCGCCGGTACCCGGACTTGTGTTTCCCTTCTCCGGCAAGGATGGACATCCGGGGACAACGACACATGTGAGACGCGCAGGACAGTAAGTATGAATCATCAGTAATTCTCTGAGGATGGCTATCGTGCTAAGAGGAGCTCTGTAGGTCAAATAGTACAGCGAAACAAACAAATCCCAAGTTTGCAAACCTCCCTTGCGTCCATCCGTTATTCTTCTTTCAAGCAATTCCGTCGCCCAGTTGCGGAAGGTTGAAGTCTAGCCGGCGTTCTTGATTAGCGGATCATGCGTTCGATCCAGCGGGTGACAGGAATCTCCATGGAAAGCTCATGCTCCTGGGGCATCGCGGCGCAATAGTCGCGGAGCCCGAAGGTGAGCTCGCCAATGCGGCACATGTCGCGACCGGAAGGGGATTGAACCCAGATCTCCATGTACCACTGTTCGTTCTTGAAGGTACGCTCCTCGGTGCAGGTGCAGCCCGTCAGAGAGTGCGGCATCTTGTCTTGGCGATCAAAGTCCTCGACGAAGTTCTCCCATCGGCCGTGGAGCTCTTCCCGGACACCGCTGAAGTCCTCAGGAAGACTCATCATGGTACTGCCGAGAACGTCAGCTATGACAGGTTGGTCCTGAAGCGCGTCGGTTGTAAAGGTCTGGCGCGGCATGGGCGGGCAGCTGTGTAGGCCGTGCATCTCACAGACCATATCGCCGAGCAGCCAGAACTTGTCTCTTGGGAGGAACATGGTGGCACTCAACGAGTGGACAGGCACGTTGCTGACGGTGTTGTAGTAGAAGTCACCGGCGTTGTCAAGATGCTCGAAGTACGACTTGTGCTCCGGGCCTCGGAAGTACTTGAGGTTGCCAATCTCGATGGGAGCGTCGACGGTGCACTGGTTGTAGTCCGCAGCAAGACGGGTAGTGTAGGCATCGGCAACCGTGTTGGGTTCGCACTGCTGAGGGTCAGCCTCTTGGGGAACACCGGGGTGAACGCCGCCCTTGATCATCTGGCTGGTGTTGCAGCCTCGGTATTCGAAGAAGCTATCGTCAAATTCGTCAAAGCGGGCGTTGATGGTAGGAGTGCCGAGCGTGCCGTCGTGGCCAAGGATCCAGCTGATGTCGGCCTGGGGCTGGACCATCTCGGGGTGTTCGTCCATGAAGGACTTGGTGCTCTGGAATAGGGACCTGGGCTCCGAGGTGTCTTCGAACATGACTTCGTTGACTCCGTAGGCGATGTCGCGATCTCTCATCAAGCGGAAGACGTCGACGTTGATGTCGCACATGAACTGGGTCTGGGAAGCAGTCCTGTCAGCCCAACCAACACCGGGGAGGGGAAGGGGACTTGACTTACTCCAGGTTCAACCATCCAGAACCAGTCATAGGCATCAAGACGCTTCTCGCGAGCGAAGAGACCAGCCGACCAGCGTCGCTTGTGGTGGGTGGTCCAGACGTCAGCTTTATTGGCGCCCACTGCCTAAGCGTGCGCCAAGCCAGCTTCGAAGCGACCAGAGTCGACCCAGGCAGGGATAGACCAGTGCTGCTTTGGGATGACATTGTAGGTGACAGTGCCACCGGTCGCGTTGGATGTAGCCTCTTTGAACTTCTCGCTGAGCTCCTCGTGGCTGAAAAAGACCCAGTCGTAGCGGTACTTGCTGTTGAAGCGGTGCTCTAGTTGTCCAACAGAGGCGACCATCTGCTCAAGTTGGTTCTCTGACACAAGGGCGACAAAGGCGGCGCGTGGAGAAGCATCCCAAAGTTGAAGGCCTGCTGAAAGAGCGAAAGGGAGGTTCAAGAGGGTTATAGTAGCAAGGAGGAGGAAGGAGGTAGGGAGGGAAACGAATGATTTGGTCTGGAGCGCCATCTCGCCTGATTAAGGAGAGATCAGTCGAGAAGGCGCGCGTGGTGACTTGTGTGGAAGAAAGAAATCAGAGGGATGCTTGTCGTTGATCTGAGACAGTTCTTTGGTGGATTTGGTTCAGGTGAAGGGTTGTTGTTGGGGTGAAGTTTTGATCTGAGGTGGTGTGGAGGAGAAGAGATGGTTGACTTGGGAAATCACGAACGAAGAACAACAAGCCGCCCTCAAACGACGCTAGCGTCTCGCTTAACTCTCAACAGCGCAAAAAGAGGAAGCATCGACCTGTTCTCAGGCAGCTCACACGTGACTTGGTGATCCAGACCGTTCACCGAGATCCTTAGGCGCCTTAGGCGCCCAACCGCCTGGAACTTGGGTGAAAGCCTGGTAAGGAACGTGACCGTAGTTACAATTACGTCATCTCTGACAGTTAAGCGAAGGTCAAGGACACTTTAGAAAAGCATCACTCAGACCTTTATTCGATGACGTCAGGGGTTCAAACAGCTTCAGCCTTCAGCCTTCAGGCCCCAGGATCTCAACCAAAGTAAACAACCTTTTCCAGACGTGACCAGACCTTTTCAAAAATGCGGGAAGCAATCAAAGTTCGTGCTATTAGAAGATGATTTTATTCTGGTTGAATACCTTCCTGCCTTCAGAAGTTTCTTGATGGTACCCATCTGCTGGAGTGCAGGCTTCTTTGATATTTCTACACGTCTTGAGATACCTCAGATGTCCTCATAGAATATGTCATAGGTCTTTGCGGCCAATGAAATGCCATTTCCGCATTTCATTGTTGTCATTCACAATAAAAGAAACTGAGCAAGGGCCTCCAAAGCCAAATCTTGTTGGGAATAAAATATCCCAATGCCCAACCAAGGGTCCAGCCCATCCATGTCATTGATGCCGTTGCTACAACTCCATTTCCCAATTCTCCCCGGTACTCAGGATATGCTCACCCCAGGTCCGATGCTCCTCTGTTCCCAGTATCTTAAAGCCCGTCTTGGCATACATCCTCCTCGCTCCCACCATGTTGCTGTCCGTTCTCAACCCGACACGTTCATATCCCGCCTCTCTCGCAAAGTCTATGCAAAGCTTCATCAGTTGCGTTCCCAGACCTAGACCTCGAGCGCTCTTCTCGACGAGAAAGCATCTCAACTTCGCTCGACCCGGCGTGTCGCGATCTTTCATGAGTATGATGCAGCCGAGAAACTGGCCATCCCTTTCCGCAATCCAGCAACGCTCTGCTGTAGGGTCGAAAGTTGTGATGAACTCGGACGTGATTCTGCCGACCAAGGCTTCGAAAGATGACCCGTAATCGAACTCGTTGGCGTAGATTGCTCCATGGCGGTAGGTGATGAAGCCCATGTCACCTGGACGGTGATTTCGTATGGTGACCCCATTCTGGGCAGTGCCGTTGACTTGGTTTTCGGACTTCATCGCTGCTGACTGGTGATTGAGGCTCATTCTTGTGATGCTTGAATTTGGTTTGTCAATTGAACTGATTTCCTGTGCAGGGTTGGCATGGATGTCTTATGAGCAATTGAATGTCGTTGTCTCAATCCGTGCCTTGAAAGGCTATCAGTGCGGGGCATGTCGTCCGCGTCTTTCAAGGGCGCAGACCGCCACTAAATCGGCAGCTAGGCATGCTGCATGTCAACCTAGGTTTCAGAGGACTTCTGCAGGAATCGATCCAGACGGCGCTAGAAACACATAGATTACTGGCCGAAATACACCGCCTTCTTCACTAAAATCTGACATCTTATCACATAGACGCGTAGACCGCGTGTTAATGTAACGCGCCTGCAGGTGGATTGGCTTCGTTACAAGGTCGATCACATGGATTTCATCAACAGTTCAAGGACTTCAATTTTTGCTTCATTTCAGTCATACTCCTTCGCCAGAATTCTTCTCGTCTTTTCGCGACTCAATCATGACGACGCAAAACACCGCTGCCGTCGATCCAAACACGAACAGGGCCGTGATAGTGTTGAACCAGCCCACGCCAATACTGTTGATGGCCGGAAGACACACAGCCGTGCCAACGGCCGCGATTGCATAGCGGAAGAAGTAATTCCCAGCTTTTTTCCAAGTTCGTCACCTTGAAGTTCGACTGTACCTAGTAGGAAAGGGTACTCACCTATCACCTCTGCACTCCGTCCCTTGAACACATCAAGACAATACGTGTTGATGCTGGGGAAGCAAATAGTCTGCGCGAAACCTTGCACGAACATGCAAATCACTGGCAACGGGATGCCGCCCTTCTCCTTCTCGATGGCCCATCCGTAGATCAGAATCGCGCACGGGATGACGACGCCCATGGCCACGAAAGAGCTGCGCAGACGATCTTCGGGAAGGCGATGACCTCGACGTTTGATCCAGAGCTTTACTGTATGATCTGCGTAGCGACCACCGAAGTATGTACCAGTGAAGAACCCGATTCCTGGGGCTAGGAAGAAGAGACCGGACTGCAGAGGAGTTGTCAGGTGGAAGCGCGGGTTGATGACGTATCGGATGGGCGTTAAGAGTGACTGCATGTTCCACACCAAAGACGAGGCGGCGATTCCCTACGAGATCACGATTAGAGACGTACACCCAGCCAACAAGCAATCATGGCATTGAATACTTACTGCCACCAGGAGTTTCGGAATACGGAACAATGCAAGGACTCGGAAAGGGTTTGTCCAATCCCAAACCTTCCCAGCCTTGGTCTTGAAGTCGAGCCCTTCCAACTCCTTCGATCTCATCTTATGGCTTGTCTCTGGCAGCGCAAGTACCGCAAGGACAGTTGTGAGTCCTCCCAAGCCCGATTGAAACCAGAACAAGACTCGCCAGCTATGATATGTGACAATAACACCACCGATGAAGGGACCGAAAGATTGACCGATCAGGGTGCCGTTCAGGAACCATGCCAGGGCTGTTCCCCTCTCTGTGGGCTTGTAAATGTCACTGATGCAACTTGAGCCCAGCACGAGGTAAGCTGTTCCCGTGAAGGCTGAGAGCAACCGGAAAACGAAGAAGGCGGCAAGGTTGGGAGCCAATGCTGTTCCCACGGAGAAGCCAAAGAACCCAGCCGCAGACAGAATGCATGGCTAGTCAAGTTAGCCAATGCTCCTCGACAATTCTTTGCCCAGATACCTACCCATTTGCGTCCATACACCTGGCTCACTGGTCCCCAAAACAGGGTACTGATGCCCATGAACACTGTGTAAATGGCATTGCTGACATTGATGATACTTCCGCTAGTGTTGAACTCGCCCGCTATTTCGGGAATCGCTGCCAAGAGCAGCAGAGTGGACACCGTTGACGAGATTCCACCACAAGCCACCACTGCCGTGACAAGTCTCTTCCGGTTCGGCGAAAACTTGGCATAAATCGCTTCCGTGTCTTGGCGGCTCAATTGCGCATCGTCCTCAGTCGGGGCAGGCAAAATCGTCGCACTCTTCTCCGCATTCGATGTCGTCAATCGCAAGTCGTGGCGGTCAGGCTCCACATCCACCGACTCCGACTTTGAGTCGTCTTCATGTTGGTTTTGCGACATGTTCCGGGCTTGTCTTCGCGGGACAAGCGTTTGGGGTTCTTTTCGTCATTCACGTAGGATTTGTGGAAAGATGGTACGATTTAGCTGCTTCGCGACGAGTTGGCGAGTTGTCAAGATGCACGTTCAAGTTTTCAAACACCAGCGCCGGCACTTCTCACCGGGCACAAAGATCGGGCAGAAAGATCTTCGGCAGCATTATCCGGCAGTAGTTTGTTTGCCTAGGTTAAGCAGGTCAAACATCGGATATGCCTCATTCTCCCCATGCTTACCATTCCGACGTCGGTGACTGGATTCAAGATCGCCATTAAAGCCCCTGCAGTCTCGCCCAGAACTCGCTGGAACAAGAAGCTCATTGTCCCCGGCTGGGCGTTCTTCCCCGCGTGTGGGGGTTCATCCCGGTCACAGGGCAGTTCGTCGGACATCTTCCGAGAGACTGGCCAGGCATTTAGCGAGTCGCGTTCTTAGTGTTGTGGCAGGCTTGGTGGGCTCAGTCCTGCTCCGGCTCCGAGATCGGCCGGGGACAAGGGAAGCCGCTCGGTCGCCGAATTTCACCAGAGATGGGTCTTTCGGAACGGAAACTTTGGCCGGACTCGGCTTCGGGACGCCGGGGAGTCAAGACGGACTGAGGATTGTTGCGATGGTTGGTAGATCGTGTTTGGGTGCTGCTGGCCGAAGGCTATTTGCGGCGTTTAGGCCAAGCAGGGACTGCCCATGATGATCTTCGATGAGAGACACAACTTCAAAATCTGTGATCTGGGTTAGAACTTGGGTCAAGCCGCTGCTTGCAAAAACATCACCAGTTACGATCTTCTTGGCCGGCAATACATACTTCTTCCGACGAAGAAGGTTAAAATGACGACTGGCTCATCGCAGGTCCGGGGGTGAACCTATGACTCGGTGCAATTATGCCCCGCATACCGGATATGACGCCGGCTCATGTGGGGTCAAGACCGAGCAAGATGACTCTTCTGTGAGACTCTCGCATCGGACGAACTATTATCCTATCTAATACTAACAGATGACATTGTGCAGCACCTGCCGAATGCATCTCTCCAAGCACTTACACAACTCGGTCAGCAATGGACAAGCCCGGTCCAGCCAATGACAACAACGCACGCGATGTCGGCGACTTCACCGCCGCGCTGGAGTTTGACTTGCTCAAAGCGCAGTTGACCAATGCCTCTCAAGTCAATTACCCGGAACCTATTCGGGACGACTCTTTTCTACAAGACTTACAAAATCTGGATGCAGTTGAGTTGCTGCGCAATGCAGGACTTACATCTCACCAGCAAGATGAAGCTCTCTTCGATCCCGCCGTGACCGGAGGGTCCGGCCTCGCCAACACCCAAACGGCGATGCCAAGCACAGGTACAACTTTCGACGACGCAGAAATGTTCATGTTTTCGAAGGCAATTGGTGACGCACAGTTTGCGAGGAACTTGCTCGACACCGGAACAGCAACGCTTGGTGTAGACGGGAACCCAGCTTCAGAGATGACCACGCCGCCCAAGATCGGGACTCGATTCTCTTCAAAGTCTCTCCGGATTCTGAAAGCATGGCTTTCGAACAACAACCACCGTCCATACCCTTCAACCGCCGATATGGAGATGCTAGAGCGGCAGACCGGTCTCAGCAGACAACAGATCACCAATTGGCTCGCCAACACTCGGAGACGTAATCGATTCAAGGTTCCTCCCAAACGGCCCCCATCCCCCGCCATCACTTCAGCCACCTCAAAACCCATCAACATTGGTGGAAGCAGTGTTCCCCAAGGATTTGACGAGATGAATCCTCTTCAACGATGGCAAGTCTCGCCGCCTGAGCACGAGCCCGCATTGGCATCTGCCATTGCGCATGCTGTGTACGACCTACCACCTGGATCCGACACTCCAGCAGATCGATCTTTGACCGACAGCGCTCCCACAAGATCTCTGTATAATGCTTCGTCGGCAAGTAGCGCAGGGACATCGCATTCGAGCAGGAGCTCAGTCAACTCAGCATACTCCCACAACTCCCGAGCATCATTGCGTTCAGATCCACTGGCTAAAGCTGCAATCAAGCGAAGGAGGCGACGAGGTGCTGCGGCACGACCAGAACGAAAAGGCCCCAGCAATCTCTGGCAGACTATGAACATGTATCAATGCACGTTCTGCACCGAGACCTTCAAGACAAAACACAATTGGCAACGCCACGAGAAGTCACTGCACTTGTCTCTGGAGCGGTGGGAATGTTCGCCAACAGGGCCAACCGTCGCTGATGCAAGTGGTCAGCTGGTATGCGTCTTCTGTGGTGATGCCAACCCGGACAAAGAACACCTAGAGAAGCACAACTACTCAGTTTGCAAAGAGAGATTACCCGAAGACCGAACGTTCTACCGAAAGGATCATCTGCAGCAGCATCTCAAGCTCGTGCATGATGCCAAGTTCCTGAGATGGCCCATGGGTGATTGGAAGCACGAGAATGAGATGATCAGATCTCGCTGCGGCTTTTGTGCTTTGGTAATGGGATCATGGATTGACAGAATCGATCACATCGCCGAACATTTCAAGGATGGCAAAACGATGGAAGAGTGGCACGGAGATTGGGGCTTCGACGACCATATCCTCAAAATGGTTGAGAACTCAATGGCGCCTTGTCAGTCTTCCCCTTACAAAGCTTTTATGCCGTGGCTGACCTTCATTTTCCAGATATGATTCATATGGAGCGGTATTCGCCATGGCCCTTCACTACTAAACAAGGCGTTCCAGAGACGCCACCCAGCGCTTTTGAGTTGATCAAGACGGAAATCAACCACTTCGCCACAGACTACCAAAACACGAATGGCCGAATGCCTACAAATGCCGAGCTTCTATACGAAAGTTGCTGCATTATTTTCGGCTCGGAACCTACCTCTCTCGCGAAGAAGCCAGTGACTCCAGCAAGCTCATGGCTGCGGGACTTGCTCATGTCGTCGGATATCATCGTCAAGCAAGCCCGAGTTCGACCGCTCAAGACAGCCAGGAGGTCTCGCATCACATATCTCTGCATCAATGGAAAAGCCGACATCTTTGACCAATGTGCCCTAGAAGAACAACTCCAAAGCTACGTGGACATATCGAAGCTCATCGAGCCCGAAGTCTCGGACTCGGATCTTCAGCGCGAGGCGTGCAGCATTGTCCAGCAATTTGATTCTGCATCAAGTTGCTGGACAATGCCATCGTCGCCAAAGCCATCCGAGACGTTTTCCACATTCTTATACGGCCTGATCAATGAGTCAACGCACTGGCTGGCACCTTTCCGTCAACGGATGCAGCTCCCTCCTTCGGAGTCTGCCGATTCCCCTACCTTGGACATCGGAAACCAGCATTTCCTGAGCGCTGCCCTTACAGAACCCACTGGCCAGTCAAGCGCCATGGACACAGGAAGCTCCAGCCCTGAAGCTGACGTCGTCGGTAGCAGCGCTACTGGCAATACTGCATCAGGTGCCGATGCCGAAATGCCGGGACTCAACACGCGCACCACGTTCTTCGTTAACGAAGAGAACTGCTATCGGCGTCTTGCCCTGAGTCTAGTCCGGTTCGTCAAGATCACGACATCGCCGCGAAACCCGAACAGACATATTCCCTCAGACGCCGAACTTCAACATCAGGCGCGTTGGATCTCGTTTGAAGAGTAAGTGAAATCATACAATTCGGTCAATGGACATATGCTAATGGACCCAGCGATGATCCTTGGAATCAGACTCCTGCCGATAACCCAGACTGGCTCCGCGAGTTCAAGCGTGAAATGGGTATTCTACAAGAAGATGGCAATCATCCAGTTGCATGACTTGATTAGTTCAGATTTTCAACTCGGATATTTTCATGAGTTTTAATGGGAAGGATGGGTTATGAGTCCATGAAGGACCGGAAGCTGTCTCTGCTGCCATTTGGCTTTCCACTCGGCGATCGCTGAAGTGCGTTGCGAAAGCTGCGATATCAGAGAAGATTTAGTCAGCCAACATCCGTAAATGTTATCAAGGCATTAATACCATGTTCCAGTCAATTCGCATCAATTTCTTTATCTGCGCGGCCTGTTGTGTGCGCCCTTCTTGTTCGACCCAATCGCGTCAGCCGTAAGGCGTAGGGAGAAATCGACATGATTATTATGGGTCCTGTGTTCGTGCGCCTTCACCGTCATGCAACGATCCACCATGATGGCTCGCCCTAGGGCGTGAAACTAACAACATATACACGCCGCTGCGCCCTGCAGACTTGCGGCGAATCATCACGGAAGAGACCAATATGGTGTATTTGTTCCGGATTTCATACAAACCTTGATGAACCCTGTATCCCATTCAACACCCTGATCACGCGGATACTCTCGGCTCTCGTCACAATTCTGTTATTTGAGCAGCAGCCATCTCAAAATTTACAAGATAGACAACACTGTTTCGGTGTTTCTGCTCGCGAACTTACAGCATGCGAGTCGGTTTCCTTGGTCTTGGGGTCATGGGCACCCCTATGGCCCTGAACCTCACCCGCAAATTCGCCGTCACAGTCTGGAATCGAACGGCTTCCAAGTATCCACCACTCACACAAGCCGGTGCCAAAATTGGGGAGACACCAGCGAAAGTGGTTGAACAATCCGACGTCATCTTCGCCATGCTCTTCGACGGCGCGGCCTTGACATCAATATTCAACGATGACTTCCGAGGCGCACTTCGCGGGAAAACACTCATCAACACAGCCTCCATACCAGTCGATATCAGCAAACACGTTGCGGAGCAAGTTCAAAGGGCAGGCGGCAACTTCATTGAGATGCCGGTGAGCGGGAGCAAGATCCCGGCGGAGCAGGGCCGACTTGTGGGGCTTTTGGCCGGGGATCCGAAAATTGCGGAGCAGATGCGGCCGTATGTGGAGCCTCTCACCGCCGCAGCGATCTACTGTGGCCCGATCGGCTTCGGCCTGAAGACCAAGTACGCCGTCAATCTGTATCTCAACAACATGACCGCCGCGCTTGCCGAATCCTTCAGTCTGGCGAAGGCACAGGGGCTCAACTTGGAAGCATTCGGTCAAGTCATCGACGCCGGACCTATGGCTTCCGCATACACCAAGGTCAAGATCCCCAAGTTGGTGAACAACGACTGGGCTCCGCAGGCCGCGGTGAAGGACTGCTATAACAGTACTCAGATGATTGTAAAAGCAGCGGAGGATGCGAATGTTAGAACACCATACGCCGAGCTGTGCCGAGAGGTGTACAAGGAGGCTACGGAGGCTGGTCTTAATGAGGAGGATATGATTGCGGTCTACAAGCTCTTCCAAAATCCTAGATAATACATCATCTGAGAAATGTTGTCATGGAGTAGATGGATTTTCTTTGATTCCAATCTGGGTCTGAGAGTGCAGGTGTTTCTTGTCCTTATCGCGGGGCGTGTGACGTTGAGACACAGTGGGTGCGTATCGCAAGGGATAGCAGACAAGACTGAGCAACCGGTGAGTCAGGAATTAAGAGGCGTTAGTTGGTCGAGAAAGTACTACTAGACTGTGGCTGACATTGAGACGAGGGTCTCGCAGGAGCTGACCTGAGACAGCAATCACGAGAGGAAGCTAGGCGCTGAACCGCAGGCAGTCACCAATCTCAGGACAAATAATTGCGAATGCTCCAATCAACCGAAATGAGTACAATTGCATTTGCATTGATGGTCAGCTTTGCCAGCCGGTCTAGACCGCAGCCCGAAGTCCACTCAGCAAAACCATCATTTCCGAGCGCATCGGCCCATCTTCACGCCAAGCAATGCACCACCCCCTTAAATGCACCCTTCCGTTCAATCCTACCATCTCTCTCACTACCCCACAGATTAGGAATGGCGACAAAGCCAGGTGCAGCGCTTTTGAAAGCGTACAGGCACACGCCCCTGTCAACCAAGACGTGTACTCGCATCATTGAAGTCTTTCCAGCTACCCACAATACCGATATACTGAGGTGCCGACTACTCGAGGTTGAGCTCGAAGAAGCGAAGGGAACTTATGAGGCCGTTTCTTATGTCTGGGGATCACCCGAACTCTGCTGCCAAATTATCGTCATCGACGAAGATACCGCCGAGAGTGACAAGATGGAATACAGTCTCTCCATCACTCAGAATCTGAGCGAAGTTCTCCGCCGGTTTCGAAACACTGAGTACCCTCTGGGTTCTATGAATGATCACGATCATTCGAATTCTGCAATTACAGTTCCAAGGAGGTTGTGGGCCGATGGCGTTTGTATCGATCAATGTAGTGTCGAAGAAAAGAGCCATCATATCGCCATGATGACCGCTATATACACCGAGGCCAAGGGTGTACTCGTTTGGCTGGGCCACGACAAGAAAGCAGAAGAAGCATTACGTTCTCTCCCCTCGGATGAAGACATAATCGGTGGAGAAAACCCTCGAGACCGGATTTTCACATTGGCAACTCTAGCAAAGGACATGGCCGTGAGAAACGTAACCGTGGAGTGGGTTCATCAGGCTTTGGCTACCGAACAGTCGGGGGACCCAACGAAAGATCTTCGGACTTGGCGCTCCCACGAGACGTATGTTAACTATGAGGCGACAACAGCTGACATCTACATTCTCTTCGCCTACTCCTTAGCCATTAATGGCAAGCTAGGATGGATGCTTGGCCAAGCTTCTTCTAGGCTGTCAGCTGCCACTGGAGGATGCACATCCCATCCAGATCTGGATTTGCTGCCTCGATGGGTGCCGAACTGGACTGTCAAGTACCACCGCCACGCGTTCTGGCTCGAAGGCAACGATGTCCGCTGTGGACCCTGGGTCAACCTCGCTAACGCGATTGGACCACCTTTGGTTCACTGCGCCCTTGCTAGATTTCCTACCTCGTCAGGAGCATTTGCCTATCGAATTCGAACCCGATTAGGTCGCATTTGTCTGAGTCAAAGTGCCGGCACTGCTGTGGAAGATTCATTTGAATCTGCAGAAGAAGACCGAGTATGTCCCTTTGTGGTCACATGGAAAAGCGAAACTTTCCCTTCTCATCAGTTATCACCAGCGGACGTGGTCCAGTGGATAAGACGGACTTTTCAGTCCATCTGGGAGGCAGGACTCTCCAGCATGAATGCAAAGCTCCGTGGAGATGATATCAAAGAGCGGCTTGCCGATCGCTTCTGTTACGTCCTCGTGGCTGGTGCACATATGTACAGCGACAAGCGTCTTTCCAGCAACCTCAAGAGCGCTGCAGCAGAGCTGGCAGAATTAGCACAGACGATACCGACAATGACAAAGTTCTATCATGAGCAAAGTCACCGAAAGATGCTCGACATGCTCGTTCATCCGAGTCAATTTCGGGATGATGCCGAAAAGAAGAAAGATGAACTACTTGCGCCAATCTTCGTCAAACTTCTCAAGGATATCATTTTCAACGATCCAGATTTTACCGTTCCAGGCTTGAATTGCGTCTTTCAAATGGTTTCTATCACAATGGAGCATCGATGTGTTCTCACCTGCGACGTAGACAATCCGCCTGCGGATGCTTTGCCATTCGATATCGTCGGTATTGGACCTGACCACCTCGAGCTTGGCGACCGAGTGTTTTCCCTTCCTCTCAGAAGAAAGCACTTCCGTGATGGAGAACAATTTGAGCACCCCATTACGAAAGAATACTTTGAAGATGTAGCGTATGCGCCCTTGGCATTTCAAAATGTCTGGGCAGCGACGTACCTCGCGCGCCCTATGGGTGGAGTCCATGTCGTCCACTCCCAACCTGTCGAAGACGGGGCTGAGGCGGAGCATCCCAAGATTTTCCAATTTGTCGGAGATTGCTTTCTGTCAACAGTGAGATGGCTTTCACCAAGTCGTGGACTTATGCCGAAGGCCTGGCTGTCTTACGAGACGGAGGACAGCGACGAAGCTGCATGTCAAAAGGAGTTCGGGGACCGATATTCAGATTTTGATGAGGATGGTGAGATATATCTTTGCTAAAGACAAGAGCGATGACTGCTGGTATGTACAGATATGGGCTAGGAAAACCATCAATATTTGATTGTTCAAGGACTTGATATTACGCTCTTCCTAACTCCGGTGCCGCCGCGAAAACCACTCCAAACGCCGGTAACCAAAAACCAATTCCGATATCATTACTTGTGCTCAAGATGTTAGCACATCTTGCATCTCCACCCACAGAGGGACTATTAGCAACCCATCATGGTCGCCATACTGGCAACTCCGCATCTTGCAGCCTCGCTGTCGTCTGCTCGTCCGCTTCCATGGCAATTTGAATGGGCAGTACCAGGCTAATGTCAGTACCGCCAGCGCTCATGCTAATTTGTAAGGCGTACGTTCTTGATATCAGACATGAGTGAAAGGTCGGCGGGAAAACGTATTTCTCAGTGGGCAGGCGAAACTCAGCTCGCAAAGTCTTTGAATAAGGCGTCGGCGGTGCCGAATCCCAGCTTTCTTCCTTCGCCTCTGCAGCATGTTGACTATCGGAAAGCGTCTTGGGTTTCCAAGACTCGTATTCCAGAGTCTCCCACAATACTCGCGCCGAAATATTGAAAGGCTCTCGAAGGGAGCCCATATTGGGCAAGCCGTTCATGACCTTTGTCGAATACCAGGTTTGCGCAACAATTTTGACCGACTGCAAAACTACCTCCGGCGGCGTAACACTTGTAACTGACGGTTCAAAGATAAGGTTCGCTTGAAAAGAGGAGCTGCAAGCGCTGCGTCCGTCCCGGCTCAAGTGGATTGTAGGCGGCTGTGCCGCTGCTGCAGTGACACGGCCCAACGGCCCCGAGAACGGCACCGAGAACAAGGCCTTTGAAACATTCTTTGATTCGATAACGCGATATTGCGAGTCCCGTGTGTTGACACTGAGTGGCGGTTCCTCTGGAGATGCTGCAAGTAGGTTGATCTCGTATTGAGCCTCTGAGAGAACTTCAGACGGCCTGGCGCATTGCGGACCAGACTCTCGCACAAGTTTTGCTTTGATATGATACCGAATGCCCAAGAGCTTGGGAGCCATGTCGTACTTGTGCCAACTTGTTAGACTGGAAGGAAGCCGCAGGTGGTAATCGCGTATCGACGTTGACTCGACGTCGTGTTGACATGCAGCGTCTGTTAGTTGGTTGGGAATGATGAATCGAAAGGGTATCTTGTATGTTTCCCCGGTTTTGAATGTTCTTGACTCGGGATATGCCGATTCCGCCACCGGCATATCGACTTTCAACAGAATCTGTGATGTCTGCCTGGAAGAGTATGTGTCATCGATGCGAACACTTGCCTTCCCCTGGAGGCTGATCTGAACTGAGCTGAAAGCTGTGTCGTGGCGGGGATTGATCGAGACATAGCCTGATACCGTGGTACCGCAAGTGTAGACCTTCGATGTGTAGTGGTTGTCGATATCAATGTCCATAATTGTCGCTTTTGAACTTGTTGGAGCCAAAGTTGATATGCGTTTCGTAAGATTCTTCATTGTGTGACCAGCACATAGACCGCACGTCAGGTTTGGAATCGATGAGCCCAATCTTTGGCCATACCGGCGATCCGGTCGGCAGCTTAGGTGTGAGACGGCCATGCCAAGCCTGCTTCTTAAAGCAAGATGTTCGCCGGGTCGTGAGTATGGGAAATGAATCCCGATGTATTAACAATCAAGACGATTTGTCTTGAAACTAAGTCCAACATTTGAAAGCATTTGAGTCCTGGAGCAATCCGTCGTAGTCTTAGTATTAAAACTTCCGCGCAGACATCAACTCCCGAGAGGCCAAAACCGAAGACGATGCCGCTTGCAGGGGTCGGAGTGTTACCGACTGGTGGACTTCCTGTGCGAACAACTTACTCACACTCACACCATCGGAAACCAGCATTCTCAGTGGTCCGGCCTCATGTTCGACAATCCGGTATGAGTCAAAGTGAAGTTAATCATTCTGGTAAGTCTCTTACATGTGCCAGTCAGCGCCTTACGACGCCCGTTGGCATTGGACGCCCTTGCCGACCGGCATGTCATCTTCGCCCTACACTAGCCGAGACATGATTTGTCGAACCCACCGAGCTCCGTAACAGCCATTGCGACATCGGTTTTGCAAGGCATCTTTGCCTGCAATGTGGTCGGTGTGCTGCTGAACCCGCCGTGCGAACATGGGGCTCCGAGCCGAAGCAAACCGCATCGTGGGCCCGTTCCCATAGAAGCTTCAAAGTTTTGACTCCTCAAAACTTCCATGTCGACCAGCTCCCTTGCTAAATCGTGCCGCGCCTTTCACGCTCTCCGAGCTAATGACCTTAATCCCCGCATCAAATTCCCTGCTCAGGGCATCTTCAAACGACGAGGCATTGTACGCTGCGTAATAGCAACTCGCCCGGTCTGTGTTCATGCAGGCCTGCGGGAACGCCAAGAGCTGCCTTGCAATCTTCGTAGCCTCTTCTAAGGCCTTGCCCTTGGGGACAACTCGGTTCGCAAGACCCATCTGCATTGCTTCCTGCGCACCTACAGCTCTGCCGGTGAGGATCATATCCAGAGCCCGGCCCAGCCCCACGATGGCCTGCAACCGGACCGTGCCGCCGTCAATAAGCGGCACGTCGAATCGGCGGCAGAACACGCCGAACACGGCGTCTTCTTCGGCAACCCGCATGTCGCCGAGGAGTGAGAGTTCTAGCCCACCCGCCACCGCATGACCTGACACGGCGCTGATGACGGGCTTCTTGATTTGCATACGCGACGGACCGATGGGGCCGATATTTCGCCCATCCACGCGATGGGATTCGTCGATGATGGGACCCTTGTACTCTTTTCCATAGGGGTTGTGGTAAGTTGCGACTTCGTGAAGGTCAAAGCCCGCGCAGAATGAGCCGTTTGAGCCATTGAAGACGCACACTTTCTGCGTGTCGTCTGTCTCGAAAGCAAGGAAGGCATCGGTGAGCTTGCGACCGGTCGCACCGTCGATCGCGTTGCGCCGGTGAGGGCGATTGATCGTAATTGTTGTAATGCCCTCCGACGTCTTGGAGACGAGCACTGAGTTAGGTTCGGTGTCTGCCATACTGAACTACTGATTCAGATCAAAGTATCAAATCAATTGTATCGACGACGCTATCGATGAGATAGAAGATAAATCTAGAAGGCCATGATTAGATATAATAAACTTTCAACCGAGGCACCGTCATTCAACCGGCTTCCCCGCGTTTTGAACCCCTCAGTCAAGTTTGCGCCCGAGATATTAGGTACTTCAACACCTGTCTGACCGATCCCAAGATGATTGGCAGCCTGATATTCTCATGTCTTGCATCGGTCTGCATACGAGTTGACTGTATCGGTGAACGGTGAAAGCACACCTTCTCCAGTGAAGCAGCTCGGCAGCCACACAGTGCACCACACTCCGCGCATCAGAGAATTTACGTAAGTTAGTACCGATTCGACGCAAAACGTCTGATGGGCGGAGAATTTGATCCAATTTTTGTGATAATTGCAGGCTCGGAAGTTCGTCGTCTCGGTTGTTACGAGCATCGGGAGTGAGTGGGTCTTGGTGTGAGACCTCGGGAATTGTGCTCGGAAGTTACTTGGCACAGCCGGGCTACTCCTTCAGCTTTACAGTTAACCTATGATACTCATAGGACTTCTCCTGAATTCCTGAGTTGTAAGCCAGTTTTACGATGTGATCGTAGTTGAAAACCATCACTGGTATGGCCAAGAGGACGTCGCGTTTGTAATCATCGGTCAAGGGCCCATTTCGCACCCGCCCCGCCCGAACTTACGCCCGGATTTCAAGTCCCGAACTCAGTTTAACTGAAGTTGCTGGTTTGGGCTAGTATCTAGCTTACTCAGAAGACAGGACCGACTAATTGGCTGATAATATTCACATAAATCGAGGCATTCGGGCATTAGTGGTCTACTCTTTAGACAGCGTGAGCCCCGAGGACTTGTCATTCGTCATCGTCATCATCGAAAACATTGAGCCGCTACTGAAGCTCATTGATGACTTGATGCACTGAGTCACTTTACAACCAGCAGCTGCACCGATCTGAATCAAAGTCAACACCCTGGATGGTTTGGTACTTGTTTAGTATTTAGTTCAAGAATCGAATATTTTTGGACAACACTAGTGTTGTTGCTACAGTATTACAAGTGGTAAAATAACAGTAATGCCGTGCCAGACTCAGGAGGGGCCATCGCCTGAACATGAGGCGGATGTCAAGCTATGCCAAACTCCAGAATATTCTCCGATCGAGGAAGAGTAACTAGCCTGTGTTAAACACGGACTGCTCTGGGTTGCTTCGGGACACCTCCGATCCAACATGGTCCCAGATTCGCATCTCAGCCCTTCAGGCTGGCCAAGATCTCCTTGCTCTTCGCATAGTCAGAGGTGCCATGCTCGGGGTCCGCATCGACAGCGGTTGTCTTGCAAAGAGTGCCGGCGTTGTACTTTCCATTCGGCCCATCGACACCGGCAAAGTCTCTCTTGTCATTCGCCTTCAGCATATTCTCGGCGGCCTCGGGCAGCCATCCGTTGATGAAGTCACCGTGGGTGCAGTACGAAGATCCGCAAGCCAGCTCCAGCGGCGCAGGACCGTCCCAGCCATCAGGCAGGGCGGTACGCAGATCATACCGGATGCTGAATCTGAGCTGCGGCATTCTCTTCATGCCGAGAGGGCAGCGGTTCTCGGGGCGGAAGGTCTTCGTCCAGTGTTGGACGCCAGAATAGGTCGACTCGAGGGTGGTCTCGTTGACGCAGTCGTGGAAGAGGAGGATCGTCTGGAGATGGGCGGGGCAGGTTTTGGAAGGAAATTCGGCGGCATCCTTGCCGTCGGTCGTGCCCTGACCGCCGTGGTCGCAGAACCACTGGATGCCGGCGAGCTTCTCTACGCCGTCCTGGGAGGTAGCAGAGGAGTTGCCAACAACGGCTTTGTAGTTCTGGGGAATGGCGACTTCGGCCTTGTCGATGCTGACGTAGTAGGCGCTGAAGCGAAATATGGGAGCCGGGAAGGTACCGGTAGAGTTCTTGTAGAAAAGAGTTGGGACCCCTTTCTAAGTTAGCGATTTGGGAACAGCATGGGCAAGGGGAGAAGCTGAAACAGCAAGCAGTAAATGAAAGCTCAGGGTGTGCTTACAGTACGAAGAGTAGTCGTTGGGGTTCTCGGCAGTGGAGCAACCCGCCTGAAGTTCCTTCGATGTCGTGGTGTTGGCAGTCACAGCATCAGATCCGAAGAAAGTGTGCATGTGGGAGGCATATTGACCCGGGATGACGACGGGATCAATATTCTTCAACATAAATCGGCCAACATTGGTGACGGTGTAAGCGCTGACTGCGCTTGCGCAGAGAAGAACGTTGAAAATGCCCATGGTCAATAATGATCAAAGTTTTGAAAGTGATAGTTTCAGTGAATGACGATGGTTTGGAAGGTGCTGGATTTGAAGTCGAAGTTGAACAAAGGAGTGTGAAGGCAAACAAACACCCGGAGAAAAGAACGACGTGACACCACTGAACGAAAACAGATGTTGTCTGCAGAACTAGAAGTCTATCTGCAAACGTCGAGCTTTATAACGAGCTCCAAGCCATAGGCTTCTTCAACTCCTTAACAGCCAACCATTGTCGGCTGGAGTAGTCCGGCCTGTTGGGAATGGACTCGTTATCAACAACTGCAGGGATGTCGTACCACTTTGCCGGGATAGGAAGCGCCAAGCACGCAGACACCCATTAAGGATTCCCGAAATCGATCTTAGCGTGTTTGTAGGCCATTGTAAAAACTAGGGATCTCTGGTGAAACTGAAGAGTACATGCAGACGGTAAGCGCTGCATCTCCCTTCAATTTTAAGTAAGCGGGCGCTAACGGGGGCCCTTCCGGTGAATGCAGCACGTCATATCCACCGCGCGATCCACCCGTCTGTCTATGTTGGGAAGAGTATCCGTATCCGTAGAGCAAACTTGTTCTGTGCACCAGATCCAGACGAAATTCCACAATGGCCATACTGTTTCCATGAAGATCACGGACCATTGCTGTGATCTGAATCGACTCTCCAACAACGGATTCCAGAGTTGCGCGTACTCACCGTTCCTGCCAACATCTTGAGTAGCATTTGTAGCCTTTGGCTAAACATCTCCTGGGGCGCCAGCCAGCAAGCTCATGTTTCTCATGACCAGTATTGTGTCATTCTCAGTCGTAAAACCGGAGTCAAAATGTTGCCGTGTTGGTCATCGTACCACTCTCACGACGATCTATGGGTCGTCGGCACTTGACTTCGTCTAGTAGCGCCTTCAGACAGGACCTCAGAAAACTCAACCTCGTCTACGACGATAACATCGCAGGCCAACTTGCCGTATACCCTCAAAAGGAGAAAATCCATCGTAGAGGTCTTAATAAACGCCAAACACCGGCGCTAAATAAGATTATTCGCCTGCCGGCCCCCATGTCCTGCCACGCAAACTGACAAGCCCGCTGTGGGGTAAAAACATCCCGCGGTTTCGCGTCGAGGGCGAATCCGAGAGACATACCCCGGCCACCGTTAGGGAAGACGACAGTGAGGCCGAAAGCGTCAAAAACGACTGCCGATCGCTGAGGCTCACCGGAACACCCACCCTGTTCGTCTGAAATTGGGGGGAGATCTGCTATGCCATGTGGCTAGGACGAGCGGAGCTGTCCGCGTTGGGGGTCTGATGGAACCCTGGCTTGCTTTGACATGGTGGCTTCGGTGCAAAGATGTGGCGGGTGAGCTTGTCCTTCGCCCGTCTCAGTCTTTTGCATTGTGTCTTGTTGCATGCTTTCCCATTCTAACAGACCTTGATCGTCACGAAGTGCCGGCGTGAAGTTTCTTGATTTGGAGAAATTTCAGCTGCAGTTGCAAGACTCGGCCGAATGGGCCAGATGCGAGTGGTGGAATGCACGGCTATGGGCCCGGAACGGCATGATTGTGAACTCACGATGCGAATCTGGAAGTGTTTTGTTGCATTGAACATCGTTCTGGGCTTCTCTCCCCCGAGACACTGTCGTCATGCAGATGCGGAAGGAGGAGATATGAAGAAAAGACCCGACATCAGTGATATGGTAGCAGTTCATGTTGAAGTTGATGAGTATAAGAAATCAATGTATGCCTGGCATATCATCTCAGGAAGCCAGACAGCACACCCGCTCAAGCCAGCAAAGCATCCATCACCACCTTCACAATGAAGTCCGCAACTCTTCTCCTCGCCCTCGCTGCCTCCCTCATCTCAGGCTCACCCACACCTCGCGCCGCAAAGGACCCATACTTCTTCCTCATCGGCGACTCCACCGTTGCTGTGAACGGCGGCTGGGGCAACGGCTTCCTCTCCTATCTCAAATCGCCCGCCGAGGGCGAGAACAGAGGCAAGTCCGGCTCGACCACTGTCTCGTGGAAGTCCAACGGCCGCTGGGACTCGCTTCTGCAGGGCATCAACGACACCAAGGCCGACTATGAGCCGATCGTGACTGTTCAATTCGGGCACAATGACCAGAAGGTCATGGAGCTGGATGAGTTCCGTGCGAATTTGATTGACATCGCTGCTGAGCTCAAGAGTGCTGGAGCTACGCCGGTGAGTATTTCTGTTATATTGCCTGATGTAATGCAATGGATGATCATGACTGACGAGGAAAGATTTTCATCACTTCGCTCACTCGCCGAACCTTTGAGGATGGCGAGGTGGTGCAGAACCTGCACGACTGGCGCGGCAAGACAATCGCTGCGGCGAAGGAGAGCAAGATCAAGTGGCTCGACTTGAACATGAAGAGCACCAACTACGTCAACGCCATTGGAGAGGAGAACTCAACCGCCTATAACCTCGGTGGCTCTGATCGCACCCATTTGAGCCCGGCGGGTGAGAAGGTGTTTGGAAGGATGGTTGTTGACTTGCTGCTCGAGAAGCGGACTGATCTTGCTGGATACTTTGAGGCGGACGAAGAGATTACTAACGCTATTGCCAACGGAGAGTTTACGGATGGTGGCTTGTGAGAGCGCCATTGCGGCAGCGAGCAAAGTGTGGCTCAAATTGAGCATGAGGTTGGGGCAGCAGGTTGAGCAAGGGTGGCTTTGTTTCTTGCACATAACTCTTGAAGTTCGGTGTTCTGTAAATAGGTTGATGAAGGAAAAATAGCATCAAGTCAATGTCTCCCAAGCGTAACGCAAGTGGCAGGTGAACAGATGGAACAGGCCCAATAGTGTGTTCAATTGAGAAAATTCAAAGTCAGGTTGCCAGAAAAGAGCAACTATTGCCGGTACCCGACTCCATGGTTCGGCATCGTGCGGTGTGGGACAGGACCCGAGCATCACGATACTGACGTCCCGATTGGGAAGGTCGTCAATGATCTGCGGAAGGATGTCGCGATAGAGAATCGGCGAAATGAGGAGGCTGGCGGTGTAACCCCGCAGGGCGAGATGACAAAACAAACACCGCAGCAGGTCGGCTCTTCGTCTACTCGCAAGTTGAGTGTGTCACTTCATCAATCATGTTGAGCACCTTCCTCTCGCTCAGCTTCGCGGCACTCGCGGTCGCGTCGCCTCTCAATCCAAAGATCGGCATTTCATCGCGGCACGCCAACTTGACCTGGGAGATTCTTCCCACAGGAAGCAAGCAGCAGTTTCGAGGATTGTCGCCAGTCTCGGACAAGATCGCCTGGGTTTCTGGCACGAATGGCACCGTCCTGCTTACCACAGATGGCGGCGCCTCATGGTCATCGGTAGGACCTTCACTCGCGCCGGAAGATGCAGAGCTTCAGTTCCGCGACGTGCAAGCCTTCTCCGCTGAGAAGGCCGTCATCCTGTCCATCGGCGAAGGGGCGGATTCACGCGTGTACATCACCAATGATGGAGACGCGTCCTGGACAGAAACGTTTGCGAATGAAGAGGCTGCGGCATTCTTCAACTGCGTCGACTTTGAGGATGAGGAGAGAGGCCTTGCGGTTAGCGATCCTGTCGATGGCAAGTTTCGATTGATCGAGACGGTGGATGGAGGAAAGTCCTGGGAGATTGTTGAATCCAGTGGAATGGTACCTGCGTTGGAAGGGGAGTTCGGCTTTGCTGCCAGCGGGACGTGCATCTCAACCGCTGCGGGTCGGTGGCATCTTGCTTCTGGTGGTGTTGACCCCGGCAGAGTCTTTCGAAGTGCTGATGGACACAACTGGGACGTCTCGGGAAGCGCAATTGCGGGTGGCGCATCGGCTGGCGTCTTTTCGGTGCAGTTCAAGGACGAGCTCAACGGCATCGCGGTCGGCGGGGACTTCAACGTTGCCAACGGCTCAGCACACACCTCGTCATGGTCGGAAGACGGAGGCGCAACGTGGACGGCGTCGGAGGCGTTTCCGGGCGGATACCGGTCGGGTTCATCATGGGCTCCGGGTCTTTGTAATGTTGCGGTTGCGGTCGGACCATCCGGATCAGATGTGACAGTTGATGGCGGGCGGACGTGGAGGACGTTTGATGCAGGGTCGTTTGACAGTGTCGAGTGTCTTTCTGGGCGCGTCTGCTGGGCGTCTGGATCTGGCGGAAGGGTCGGAAGACTTTGGTTGAAATGAGAAGGGGGATTCGGGGTAGATAAGCTTCGAGAAGTTGGTGTTACATATTACCCCTGAGAATCAGTCGATTGAGAATATGAACGAGTCAACGTGTATGAATGAGCATAAGCAGCTCTGAAATATCATGTTTCCTCGTATCATGGAACATGATTGACGGAGCTGTCCCCTCTGCCCCTCGATGCATAGCCAGTTCAGTGGGAAAGACTGGACACCCAAGAAGTAGATCTAGCCGAATACGGCAAGGTTCGAGACACCAAAAGCAGTAAACCTCCCCCAGACTTTGGACATCTCTAACAGTTTAACATATGCCTCGGGTGATGAAATGTTAAGAGCTCCGGATCCGAGAACGATGACAGACACGGCACGTACCTGAAACAGGTCACAGCGTGCTTCGCTTAAACCGCCAACTCCCAATCACCAGCTGCATTCAGGACCGGGGTTCCCCTCCAGGGAGGGCAGCTCGTCTCTTAGCGCGGACGGGAATGCAAGCTTGAGAGTCCTTCACAGCGCCAGAGCGTCATTGACCTGAAGCAAAGAAACATTACCAATTGGCGACTCCTGATCGGTAGCGGCTGCTTGCTAAACTCCGACGATGCAACTTAACCTCCACCAACCCTTCGCTCCCTCTCTGGACTCCAGATGATCATGTTCAGGACGACTTGAGGAACAGAAGCGATAACAACGACGACGACAAGCTGAAGTAGAAGCTGCCGAGAGGAAGCAGACTAACCGACTGCCCACCATGGCGGGAAGCCTTCACGCCTACATCACCGACTCCCTGACGCCCGGGCGCGTCTTCGGATCCCTCTTCTTTGTCTTCGTCACGCTGCTCATTCTCGACCACACATGGAAGCCTACGTACCCTGAGAACATTCCAGTTGTTGGCCACGGCAAGGGAACTGTCGCGCGGATCAAGAACTTCTACTACTACATCTTTCGATACAGAGACTGGGTCATTGAGGGGTACCAGAAGGTATGTCACAGGCCATCTGGCCATGCGACAAAGGAAATGCTGACAGCAAGCATAGTATAACAAGCAGAATCGCGCATTCGTCGTACCCGCCGCTGCGAGCAGGGCTCCCGACATCGTCCTCCCCCGATCCCTCACGAAATGGCTGCTCGAGCACCCCGACTCGATCGTCTCCGCCCACGAAGCGCACAATGACGTGCTATACAGCGACTACAACTTCCTAGGCAAGGTCTATGCGGACGACGTCTGGCATACGCGCGTGATCCACAAGAGTTTGGCGCGTCACCTTAGTACTCTTGTCCCGGGCATTGAAGAGGAGGTTGCTGTTGCCGTCGACGAGGCGTTCGGTACCGACACTGATAACTGGAAGACACTGAGTCTATGGGATGCCTGGTTGACCATCGTTCCGCCTGTAACGAACCGAATGTTGGTCGGCGACACGATATGCCGAAACAAGGAATTCTGCAAGGCCATGGTTTCGTTTGTAGACCAGGTTATCCTGAACTGCTTTGCCATGCACATGATCCCGCAGATCATGCTCCCCATCATTGGGCCCTTGATCGCGCTACCCAACTGGTGGCTCTGGCGCAAGGCGGCGAAGCATAGTCTGCCCGTCATTAGGAAGCGACTACACGACATGCAGAAGAAGGAGGCGGGCGATCCGGAATACGACAGCTGGGCTGCACCGGAGGACTTTATCACATGGGACATTCGCATGGCCAAGGCTGAGAAGAACCATTTTGAGCTGGACCCCTACGTTATCTCGAAGCGCTTGTTGCCGATTCAGTTTGCGGCAATCCACACGACAGTCATCACTGGTCATAGTATCGTCCTTGACCTGCTAGCATCCGACCCAGCAAAGGGTTACATCGACGGCATCCGAGAGGAGGCCGCTAGGGTTTTGAAAGAAGAGGGCGGGCAATGGACGAAGAACGGGTTGTCAAGGCTATATCGACTGGATAGTGCCATCCGTGAAAGTCAGAGGTTAAGCAACTTCAGCTGCACCTTGATGGAGCGCAAGGTTGTGGCAAAGGAGGGCATTACCAACGAGCAAGAGGGCTGGCATCTGCCCAAGGGCACTTTCCTCACTGTCAATCTTGAAGGTCTGCACCACGATGACGAGCTCACGTCTAACGCTTTGGAATACGACGCCTTCAGAACAAGTCGAGAGAGGGAAGCATACGAGGCCAAGCCGCAAGAGGAAAGGAACTTGGAAGAAGGACTGAGGTTGAAGAACCTAGGCATGGTTACGACCAGTGATGCCCATTTGGCGTTCGGCCATGGAAGGCATGCGTGGTGAGTTGGTTCCGCTGTCCTCGCCGAAAAGTCCGAAGACTAATCCCTTACAGTCCTGGGCGTTTTTTCGTTGCCCACGAACTCAAGATGGTTGTCGCCAATCTGCTGCTGAACTACGAGCTGAAGACCCTGTCTGAAAGGCCGAAACCCCAATGGATCGGCGTGACGGTTGTCCCCCCCGTTGAAGCAAAGATTGAGATCAAGAGGAGGAAAGGCACAGTGTAATATGAACGAACCTGGTCACGATTTATGATAGGAATTGGCGTCAGGAAGGACTGGATACATGTATGGATAGGTACGCGTATAGGGACGCGAATAATTTCCGACCTATCGCTTAATCATCGCTATCTGAGGCCTCACTGCAGCAGGACCCCGGGTATGCATGGTCTTGGTCTCAAAGATTTGCAAAATATTCTAAGGCTTTTCGTTCACGTCTTCGCACGGGAAGTACAAACATTCTTAGATCAAGTACATTGATGGCGTGGACACGTTAAATGGCGGTAGCTCCTCCGGATGTCTTTCAGAATCCAACATTTTCCTTCGCAAGTCCTAGAGACTTTTGACGCAAGTCCAGCTGAAGCATCTTCCCGTGTTTGAACACTCCAACAAAACTACATTTTAGACCTACCCCAATGCTACCAATTATTTCTAGAACTAGCGAATCCCTGCCTCGACCATGCACGCCGGGTCCTTCCCTTCGTAGTCCGGGCTCTCAATTCCTCTTTGCCTCCTTAGCTCTCTCGGTGGTCGCATCGGATTTGCCAATTTTCCCCTTGTGAGCTGGATTACTCCACGTCGCCCTCCGTTTAAAATTTATTTGAGTCTCGCTTGGTTGATAAGTTGGACTTGGTTGCGCTCGCACTGCCGGGTTCTTCTTTTGGCCTACATTCCCGCCGCAGTCGGATACTTGGAAACTGAAATGGCCCTGCGGACTGAAACGGTTGGCGCGAAAGCCTTCGGCCTTCCTCGCACTATTTGAGTGAAATGTCTCAGCCCTTCTCAAGGGCCCGGGGACTTCTGTCGAACTAGGAATCATCTCTGTACACTAGACTAAGGATTCCAAGTGAAAGTAGAAAAGTTGACGATGAATGGTATTACATAAGGAGTCGAAAAATCGAACAAAGTTGCGTCGTCAGGAAACAAGGAAGACCGGAGTGGAGGTCTGAAATAAAAGCTGGACAATACGCGCCGGCTTACTTAACCTAGGCAAAATGCGCCAGATCACCATGCATGTGACTAGCCTCCAATTGTCTTGTGATACACACCCTCAGTGCCAGCGGGCGTATTATCTTCCCAATCAGGATAGCCTATATGCACTTTATTTAGGAAACCAGGGGCTAAACAAAATATATGGCCCCTTTTCTGCCGGTTTTCTACTTCATATGAACGCACATTTTCGGTATCTCATAACGCCGAGGCGAGCACCAGACAGAGGAGGTACAAATTTTGATAAGGTATGCAACGTATCCTAGACAAGGCCTAGAACCGGTGCCGGAGGTACATGTGACGGGGATTCTTGCTCAATATCTCTCCTAAACAAACTGCACCTAGTAAGGCTTGGATATGACCGTCTATAGTTCGGATTTGAAGGGTTACAAGGCCTGCAAGGCGTAAAATGAACCAATACGAGTTTTGAGAGACCAGTGGATAATCCAGAGTCACAATCTTTCTTCTTAAGTGGAAGAAAGATCAGTGAAACACAGACCTCTTTTATATACTCAGATATCCCTTCATCTTGCGCTGAGCGGGATGTGTTAGAAAGGCTTCTTGATCCATGATGTATTTCAAGACCAGGGAAACGGTTTCCGGACCGACGATATAATACAGGTTGATAACAATTTAACGCTCAATTCCAATTGCCTCGCCTGCACGTTTTGTTGGCGGAGAAGCGAGGCAGCCGTCTGCCTCATGCAGCCATCGGAGCCAAGACCTGAAAGCGTGCCACTGTATTCCATGAAAAAGCCTTCTGACGGTTGACCAATCAAATAGAGGGTTGATCTTAACCTCCCGTAAATATCGCACATCTGTCACGGGCATCGATTTGCGAACCGTATTGCAATTCATGCTGAACATTTTCAAGCATCCTAGTTCATGCGCTTCGCTTTCTCAATGACATGAGACTAACGCGGCATAAAACCTTCACATTTGCTGCTTGAACAATATCTCGAAGGATGTAACGTATCACATTTTGTCACAAATGCTCTGCTTCCGCTAACATATAGTTGTTCGAAGGCCTGTATGTCGCCTATTTCTGTTGCAACGCAAGCCGAGTATGTTTTTATTGGAATGAGTTATTCATTACATTTCTAATCCAACATTTATTGAAGTCGCCTCTCCTCGTCTATGCGACCTTCAACAGTTATATCAACAAATGCAGTAGGGTCTGATTGGAGCAGTTGAGCAGGTAGTTATGACGACCTGCATTCTCCCCTGCAAAGTAACGCCGCCTTTGTAGATATGACAATGGTATTTCTTCGACTAGCTGGCTCGCTCTCTCGCATCCAATTCCAACTATACTTTCGTTTAGGTCGAGACATTTCCGTCACGCAGGTTTTGAGGCCGGGTCACCCGCAGTGCATTCTGGGAAAAAGCCCTTTCGTTCAGGTATGAATTCTGGCCATATACCTCCTCAGCGTCCCCGCCGTAATTCTTCTTTGGGTTTCTTCTCCATCAGAATCACTGTCTCTGTCATTGTCAGGGTGGTCTGGACGGTTGCTTCGTCTTCGTGGCTGTCGGCGTTGGAAGTGTGGTTGTGCTTGTGGCTGTCCGGTTGGCGGTGCTTCTGCCTTTCGTGTGCAGTCCCTTTTCCTCCTGGCGTCCCCTAAGATCTCTCTCAGACCCGGAATCGGAGCGTCCAATGTATATTCAGGAATACTTCGAGGCACAGCAGTTGATATGCTTGCCGATCCTGACTGGTATTGTCGAATTCGCTGACTTTCCCCGGTTTTTGAGGAATACCCATTATCGACATTGACCGTATTCAACTTCTTTTCATCAGTAGAGGTAAGTCGAGAATTGGTAACAGATGACGCCATGTTTGCAGCGCACCAACGGACCGGGCGATAGATTGATCAGGATCGTTGTGGCGGCTAGTAGTCGAGTCAACAGTTTTGAAAAGGCAAGAATGGCTTTGTATGGGCGACACAAGCTCTAGGGGCTGCCAACCTCACAGATAGACAAGCGAGCTTTTATCAACTCAGGCTACCTCCTGCGACTCGAAAGAGAGAACCGCATCGCCCTACCAGTTGGCAGATGCGGGAGCCTGACCAGGTTGTAGGGTGACATCCACGGTAGGCTATGTCAGCAACTCTGCATGTAGATATTCTTGCTAACAAATTAAGTGTGCTATGCGACAATCACCTGATAGCCCCAAGTGGCTGTGACATATCAACACCAACTGCATGAGGATGCCTTGCCAGCGAGCTAGGTGCAGCAGTGTGCAGGGATATTTGACCACTCCGCCCCTCTACAGCCGCCGACAAGCCTGGTGCGCGAATTTCCAACGAACACCTCATATTTGTGTTTGGGAACCGCAGTAAAGGTCACAAAGCTGCAAACACCATGTTAGACCGACCATCGACAAGTTCTAGAACAGCGCGATCGACCACTTGCAGTCAAACATCAAGCCGGCCGCCAAGCACCATCGCTTATGAGAAGCCGGCGGATGACGAGGTTCACCAAAAGCCGTGGAAATACATAGGATACAAAGGATACTCCGACTTCATCTCCTCAGAAGATGATTTCTTCCTTCTCCGACGGTTTGATGAGTTGAATGTCAGGATTGCGCTCGCGATGCAAGATGAGATCTCGCAGCTTGAGGAGGAGCTTGAAAACGTAGATAAGGGCACGATGGCGGCAAATGCCCCAGACTTCAACAATGGCACATTAAGAGGAGATATTGAAGGACGTTCTACTTTGATTAAAGAAATTTCTCAAAAGTTGAGACATTACAGTGCGTAATTCCAATGACCCAGTTGCTTGACCCCCTCACTGATAGTTGTTAGATGAGCTCATCCTTCAACAGTCTGCACTAAGACGGTATTCAAAGGCTCCAAAGAGAGATCGAAAGAACCTTCAAAATTGGCATTTCAATCACGATTACGCAGCAATTGCGCGCGAGGAGCAAGCTTATCTGGAAAAAGAAGATCTCGTATCAGTCGCATACACGGAAAAGACTCCTTTGAGGAAAGCCATCGATAGTTCCCTCCGACTCAGAACACTGTCAGTATGGAGGCATCGAGAAGATGCAACACCCAGCTACGATGCCCCAGAAGTATCTTACTATTCGGAAAAACGCATGAACGCATTTGCATCGGCGATGATCATTGCCATTGGAGTAGTCATGCTTCTGACACCCATCTGGATTCTCCAAGCTATGGGGGATCTTAAGGGAAACCTTGCTGTAATAACCGTATTTGTCTTCATATTCCTTCTTGTTTTATCTCTAGCCATGGTGGCCAAACCCTTCGAAGCTCTTGGAGCCACTGCAGCGTAAGTTATCTAGCCCCGACGAGCCCGCGCCCAGCTGACAGCAGTCCAGGTACGCAGCAGTTCTGATGGTGTTCATACAACTTGGCTCATAATAGCGGTAGGAGATTGCGCCGATTACTTGTACAAATTTCGACAATACCGTGTTCAGTAAATTTGTAAACACGCTTGTATAATTACAGAGGAACCTGGTTCACGTCCGACAAAGCACGACTTTGTATTGTCTCGTCACAGTATTAACTAGCTATTAAAGGAAGACTCGCAGACTTCAATCCGATACTGTTTGCTGTGATGATGGAATCCCCTGCACCGGTAGACTTGACGATCGCCAATAGTAGACCATGAAATGCCTGTCGTTCTTTGGACGTAAACGCTGTAAAGTCCCCCGGATGTCCATTGTCTGTGGCAACGATTTCGCCCGGCCCAGATACCACCGACATCGATATCATGTTATTTGCCAACGGTACCACATTCCCGTCATCGTCCACAACCTCGACCGTAACAAATGAAACGTCCTCGCCGTCAGCCACAATCTTGTCACGGTCCGCCTTCAGTCGAATTCCAACAGCGTCGCCCGTAGTCCTGACGGTATCATTTGCCCATTCCCTGCCATCCTTGTATGTGACAACGTGCAATTCTCCCGACTCGTACTTCACGTCATCCCACTTGAACCGATGGAAACCCGGGTCGCTCTCGCGAGTTCTTCGACCTTTTGACTCGCCGTTGACAAAGATCTTGGCCTCATCACCCGATGAGAAGACGTGAACAGGTGTAACCTCCCCAGTTCGGTTCGGCCAGGTCCAGTGAGGAACTATATGTGCCATTGGAAAGTTGGGTCGCCAGCGAGCTTGGTACAGCCAGAACCGCTCCTTTTTCAAACCAGCCAGGTCGACTATTCCCCAGTTCCCACTTCGGGTGCCCTTGTGGTAGTAGGGTTCCCCGATGTAGTCCCATCCTGTCTATACAAAGCCACCAGAGACAGAGACGTACGGGTGCTCATCCTGAGCTAGAAAAACCCGATCGGGCGATGACCCAGCTTGGGCTGTGTACAGCTCGTAGGCACTAACGCCCTTCTCGTTCGGAATATCTCCATATGTGCTGTTGACTGGTGCACTGTTGTATGGCGTGACAGGAAACGAGAAAGACCCGCGGAGACTGAGAGATGACGCATATTCACTGCTCGTGATGACCCTGTCGGGAAAGGCCTCATGAAAGGCATCGTATTGGGGCGTCTTCTTATTCCCGGTCAGGTACTCGTACGCTGGGCCATACCTGATGCCCTCACCTTGGTAGTTGATGCTGATGAGGTCCAGAGTCTGAGCCAGCGACGAGTTCGGAGAAGAAAAGTTGATAGCCGATGTGGTAAGTCGAGTTGAATCCTCTTGGTCACAGATGTCACGTAGGTAGACTGAAATCTCTGCCGCGCCCTCGTCATCGCTAGACTGTTCCTTGACCTCGTTACCGTAGCTCCATAGAATGACTGATGGGTGATTTCGATCTCGTCGGATCAAAGCGCGCAGATCAGGCTCTCGCCAATCCTCGAAGATGAGGTGAAAATCTAGATCAGCTTTTCCTTCAACCCAACTATCGAATATCTCGTTGATCACCAGAAAGCCCATCTGATCTGTCAAATCTAGTAGCTCGGGTGCAGGAGGATTATGTGATAGTCGGATTGCGTTGGCACCCAACTCCTGCAGTGTTTCGAGTTGTCTGACTGCGGCTCGATGATTGTAGGCCGCTCCTAAGGCTCCGAGATCGTGATGCTGGTTGACACCTTGTAGATAGACATGCTCGCCATTGACGATAATTCCCTTATTCGGTTCGAAGACCACAGAACGGATGCCAAACCTGGTTTCATAGGAATCCAGGAGCATGGATTGCCGTGTATCTCTTCCAGCATACAATGTAGTGACGACTTCATAGAGACTGGGCTTTTGCGATGGAGGTGGTCCCCACAGCTTAGGACTGTTGATAATCACGGAGGAGTTGGTCTCAGTGTTATTGCCAGCCAAGTCGAGGGTCTGCCAGGGAAACTGTGCCACGGGCTCTGGTCGTCGTTGACCATTTGCGGAGTCGAGCTCAAAGACTTCGCTGATGATGGTAACAGTGGTTTGTGTTTCATTGGCTCCCACAATAGAATCTTTGAATGTCTGGATTGTGACCGACAAGTCAATCGTGGCCGAGTCTTTGGAAACATCGCGCGAGGTGACTTTGGTGCCCCAGTGACTAACGTGCACGGATGTCACTGTCGTCAGCCAGACGTTGCGATAGAGACCGGCGCCTGGATACCAACGCGACGAATGTCCAGCAGGATTCTCCGTGCGGATTGCTAGGTGTTGCTGCCTTCTTTCAAATATGGTGAAATGTTCAGGCGGAACGAGTTGTATCCAAATGGCCAACCCCCAACCAGATGGCCATTGACCCACACCATTGGGTAAGACATGCCGCCATCAATGTCCAGGTAGCGAATTGTGTCGTTGATGTTGTCTCCGATGACCAGGTCTCGGCGGTACCAACCTACACCATGAACCGGAAGTTGACCCATCGCAGCTGGAATGATCGGGTTACTGCCAGTTAGAAAAGGCAATTTGATAGCCCAATCATGAGGCACCGTGACGTTTTCCCAGTTCCTATCATTGAATGTCGGAGATGCAAAGCTGATATTCACTGCCGGCTGTGAATCAGGACTCTGGTGATGATTGGTAGGGTCGGCGATGAACTCGTTCGCGATCGGCATGATTCATGGCTTCAGCTCGACCAGTTCATCACCGTCGGCATCCGGACGACGTTCATACACAACCCCATCTAGAATAGACTCCGAACGCCAAAAGCGCCATCCAGCATGCAACCTCGTTCTCTCTCGAGTCCCTGAAAACGACACCGGCTTATCGGGTTCTTCGCCGTCAGGAAACTGAGTGTTGGCAATCCCAACTAGAAGCCATAAAATGATGCTAGGTCTCAAGAGCATTTTGAGGCGCATAGAAATGAAACGAGAGAAATTCTGCAAAGTGGATGATGTTCGATGACTTGCTTTCGCCGACAGATCAAACAATTTGATACTAGTAAGGACCCATATGTGCTGTGTACTTATCGAAACAGTACAACGTACCTAGTACTACCTCGCCTCTTCATACCCCGAGGAACACTGTAAGCAACTCAGTTTTCCGCCCTCATACAATAGTGCCAAGAGTGTGGTTCTGAATCTGGACAGTAGCACTGGCCAGAAGAAGAGAATGCGGGGAAACTGCGGCGATGCGACGATCTCTAGTCCTCATTTGACTTGGTTGACTTCTTATTAGCCGGTTCCTTTACGCCGCAACGTTGTATCCATCTGGAATGGTACGAATGGTATCGCTCATTTGATGCTAACCTTCGGGGCTCGGACTAATGCGCGGATCAATGGATCTATCCTTCTAGCTTGGCCCAGCACCCTTACGGTACGACTTCTATGGAAGACAATATGTTCTATTCTATCTAACAAATATTTTTGATGTCCACCGCACTTTTGTCCTGGTCCGCAACCAGACGAAGTCCAAAGGTTTTACCCGTAGTTGTGACCATATTGTTTATCCATTGCTTGTCACACTCATATGCAACACCTCGTACCATAGTAGCGAGGTCCTCGTGAAATCTCGCGAAGCTTACTAGTCCATTCATAGTACCATTTCGGATGGGAAGGAACAAATTCAAAATCAAGTGCTGGAGTGAATCAGTGGATAACAAGGGTTGGCAGGTGCTGATTATTATCAAGACTGGGCAAAAACATTTCTTGAACGATTTGAATACGTCATCCAAGGCTAAGGAGTCTCCTCAATCTCCCTCTCTCATTCGAACTCAAAAGCCATATCATCTAGCCCGGCGTCCGTCACCGTGATAGAGAAAATTGACTTGCCAGCCTCGCTTGCCAATCTCTGGGCGACACCACCAAACGGACAGCCCATTAGTGTTTTCCATCCCGTCTCTCCCTCAGTGACTCTAACGGTATCAGAGGAGCCTGCTTTGCGCTGACTACGAACGCTGGCAATTGCATCTTTCGTGGGCTGGTTGACAATCCAAGAGAATTCGACAGTGACCATCTCCCCCGGCTCCAGCCCGTCGTCCTTCCAGAGTGCCATCATGATTTCGTTGAGATGTAACCGGTTTGGCGTGCTGTCGTAAGCGTTCCACGCCGATTTGGCTGTAATCTTGTAGTCGAAAGAGTCTACAACGACTCGAACGAGAGCTTTCTTCCCATTTTCATAGCCATTTGTAAAGACCGATTTGGCTAATGCAGAGTCCTGTATGGTGTATGCCGCATTTCCCTATGGTAGGAAGCATTTGGTTAGAATCAGAGAAGCTCGAGGATCGGGGTCTCTGACATACGAGAATCTAGAGAATCGCGAGGTCAGTAAGCGATCAAGACCGCATCATAAGTGCCACACGGAAAGACGAGAGGCGGGATGAGGGGGCTTAACTCACTGCGCCATAAGTAGATTCCAAGAGGAAGCCAATTGCGAGCCATAGGCCGGGCACAAAGCTGGGACGCATTGCGACTAACTAGAAATAGATACAAAGCACAGGTAAGTGGCTGAGTTATGTGGACGGGTCTATCGATGAAAGGCACATGCAGGACTTCCTCCAGCAGCTGTATTTAAATACCTGTACTTCACATTGGCCATTGTCGATTTGGTTAAAATTAGAATACCAATCTATTATCTTCAGCCCCCAAAGCTCCTGAGCCATCTTGCAAGATTAGTAAACACGCCGCCCTGGATGAATTATCTAGATCTCACTTCCCAATGACTAATTTCGCCGAGCATTGTGTCAGCCTCCTCTAATATACATAGATCATTTGTGTTAAGACGTGAACCTTAGTTAAGAGGCGGTGCCGAAAACAAAGGGAAAAAGGACCATAGCGAGCCTCCTGGATGGCGAGATTCACTTGATAGCTGACTCGCTCTGGTGTCATGAGCAGGTCCGAGTATATGCATAATAATCCCATGCGGATAAAAGTGGGATAATGTAGGGTCATAAGTCGATGGAAGAAGCATGTTTAATGAATTGACGTCCCGCCAAGTTATCCTTCCCGGAGATTGCCACGTTTCAACTCTCTTTGTCAATGAATTGAATTGTTGTAATAAGTTCGGAGTAGTCTTGCCCATTGCCCGGAGTGGTCGGGGCATAAGATTGTCCGGAGCGCTCGGCCGGACACTCCCGTCTCGCCGATTTAGATTCAATTAGATTAGTTGTCCCGTACAGACAACATGGCACGCTGTTGGTCCACATCAACATGACCGTAGATGCCCCCAAATCTGATGCAATCACGCAGAGGGAGCAGATATGGTAAATGGGGATATTGAAAAGGCCAGAGACATTATCAAGCGGCGATGCAATTGAATGAACCGCCGTTATCAATCAGACATGTGCGCGACGCAAAAGGTGGATTCCAGGTCGGAGGGAGTAGAAGAAGCACGCAATCGAGGACTTCGAGCCTAGCGCGAAACACAACAATATCAGGACACCTAATTATGTACATGACGAGCATCAACTGCGAGTAAGCCACTAACAGGCAATCGCTTACTGATCAATGTCTTTACCTTGGCATGCTCTTCGGCATCGGCCTCCGTAGTGTTCCGTTTTCTCTCCGGGTGTGGCTTATGCGTGGGAGATGAGGAGCGGATGGGATCTATTGGGGGTGCACTCTGTGTTAATAGAAGTCAGGGATCTGAGTCAATGACTTAGCCACAACGAAGAAAACGAAAACCGATGAAATGCATGGGATGAACATCTAGAGATACCAAAAACTCAAAATGTATTCATGTAAGTCTCATGGAAATTGAGACGAGTCCAAGAGGCGTTGAAAGCCCAGCCGGAACCTGTTGAGGCTGCGAACAGCTGCGGGACAAATAATTCTGATGACACGATGAAATCAACGGAAGTTGTAGCGAGACTGGATCGCAACCACACAAATTCAAACTCTATTGCTGTTCCCTGAACAGTTATTAATAGTAAGTCACAACTGTGCAGCGAGGCTGGCAATTTCACTACGCTTAGCGACAGCATCAACGCTCCTAGGCATAGCCGTCAATAAGAAATACTCTTTAAGACATAACAAGACCATACCTCAATTTAAGCCTAGAAAGATCAGACTTGTCTTTAACCTCAGTTTGACTGCGTCTGACAACACAATGATGTTCCGAAACTTACAACCGCTTCTTGGGTGTCTGCTCCTTCTCAGGTGCGTGACATCGTCTGTATTACCACGTGCTGGCGACGATGCCGGTGGTCACAACTGGATCGATCACGATAAGGTTGTGCCTTTCACACAAAATGCCTCCCCTGGATTCGATGGCCAGCTTGAACTTCGCTTCAACCCCAATCTCTACGTATCGGGAGGCTGTGACCCTTACGCAGCTGTAGATGGTAGCGGAAATCTTGGGTAAGCACCGCACTACCGCTATTCCATATGCTTTGCGAGAAGCTGATCTAGGAGAAAAGTGCCGGCTTGAGACCGACTGGAGGTGGAAGGGACGGCTGTGGCGACGGCAAAGGCGGCCAAGTGTACGTCCGCCGCGGCGTAAGCCAGGGCCGAGTGGGCATAATGTACAGCTACTACTTTCCGAAAGTTCGGTGGGCGAAAGGGAACGACAACGGCCACACACATTATTGGGCTAGTATTGTTGTTTGGATCAACCGCTGGGGATGCGATGTTGACGATGCAACCTCGGCCTGGCCAGTTGGCGTCTCATTCACCACCGACCACCTGAAATGGGGCGTTGCAAAAGCTGGCGATATTACATTCAAGTCTTCTGGCGTTGGCGTTGATATGCCCACCCGTCCCCAGATCCAAATTCACGACAATGCCATGGCACCTTTCACCGGCGCCGATGGGGACAAGATTTATGGGAGGGACGTCATTGGGTGGAAATCCCTTCCTGATAATGCTCTTCAAGCGCTATCTGACGTTAAGTACGAGAAGACTGAGGTGCCATTTGTCGACGCCAACTTCCAACGCCAGTTAGACGCCGCATACCAAGAAAGCTTCTACGGCGGGCTTTTCGATCAGCAAGGCTGTGTTGAGGAGGAGGCTTCACCAGCAGAGGAGTCACAGTCTCTGCCAACGGCGCAGGCTACAAACCCTGTGAGATTGTAAAACATATGTAGAGTACACAGGAGAAATTGCAAGCAAGAATATTACTACAAGAAGAACGAGCAGACGACAGGTATATCATCCAATTTATTCATAAGGATTAATTCACATCCGGGACATTTGCCGTTGAAGCATCATGTCGTGAATTCTGGAATAAGAGCTGGGTCAGAGTTTTGTTGAACCTATATTTAGATACTTCTATCTCAGGAACCCAATGAATTTGCGTGAAACCCTGACTTGACTTGCTTGACTTGTTACTAACATGACGGATTTCCTCGCGCCGCAACGTTGCATTCACCTGCGATCGCACTGGACGAACTTGTCATTCGATCCCAACCTTCGGACTAATCCGCAGATCGACGGATCTATCCTTGAAGTGCCTCTTGCTAATTCACAAAATGCGCCGTATCCTTTCATGACACCCTAGCAAAGAGCGACTGAACACTGATCCGACCAACATCAAGCTAATTGCGAAGAAGGCAAGCTGGTCATCTTCTTGACCGAGCGCCTATAAGCAACCTCTTCTATGAGAACAACCAGTTCTCAGCTACCTACCGAGATTCCGGAAGCTAGATTGCAGAAGCCAGACTCGAGAAGCTAGAAAATGATCTAGTAGCCCAAAGGCTTCTTAAGACACGGAAGCAGGGACGTACACATGGAATGAGATGCATCAGTCATGCTATAACATCAAACAGAAGACACCACTTTGAGCACAGCAGACGCCCTCACCACAAAGATGCTGAGCAGCCGGCTTCTTCAAGATTGAACTTTGACTCCACATTGATAACATCCGGAGTGGAGAGCCCTTTTGGAACCCGAGGAGCTTAAAGCTTCTCAATAGCCTTTACCAAGTGCTTGGCGCACCTCATCGAATGGCAAATGGATGGTCGGAAACCTTGATCCGTTGGGCAGATCTCACCGTCCCGTGAATGACAAGTTTCATCAACCCACACCCGGTGGAAGATGGTGTGGCTGGCAGAAGTCCCAATAGCGAAGCCGAACAAAGCCCGTGGGGCTTTCATCTCGGCCGAAAGAGAACAATGTCTTTCATACAGTGTCCCTGCGTAGCAAGCGATGCTCTGTGTCAATAAGATCTGTGACGCAAAGGCAGGAACTTGCCGAGCAGGGCAATTCCTCGATGGAAACATGCAAGATCTACGCCGCTCAGACACTGCGCCATCAATCCCCTCATTAGCACAGGCACCATGGCGCTCCTAGATCCGTCCGAAGGATCACAAAGCGATCCCGAGACGGACCGTTGGCCTAATTGATACAGGCCATAGGATACTCGAATGACTCGTTGACCCAAAACCTTATGCAGTGTTCGGAAGGGAACAACTTCCAACGTGGGAAGCACGCAGAGCAGCTGAAACCCGCGTGCCCGTCAGTGCGGTCCGACCTCGTTCTTAAATGTATTTCTCTTTGGCCCCGCCGTCCCAGTTTCGGAGATTATTGTTCGTCTGGGGCAGATAATCGACTCCCTTTCGATCGCGAACGTCGAAACAAAACGAAGATACGAACAGACGGGGGGCCCGACGCACCCCACGGAAGTTCTCCGAGAGAAAGGATCCACAACGGCCGTCGCGCGCCGTCCCGTACGATTGGGAATGCCCCATCGCCACGCGACCTTCGAATCATGGCGCAGGTTCAGGGAGCCATTGGTGACAAGCTTTCAGAGGCCGACCGCATCGCCATCACGGCCTTGGCGACCGCGGGCATGTACAATGCGATTGAGATTTACGTCCTCATCTTCACAACGTTCCGACGACGACGCGGCCGGTATTTTTGGAGCATGCTGGTCGCCAACACGGGGATTCTGTTCCACGCGTGTGGGGGCCTGGGTCGATTCCTCCAACCACATAAGACGCCGATACCAGGGTCGTTTGCCCACGTTGGCTGGTACATGATGGTTACGGGGCAGTCGGTCGTGATGTGGTCGCGGCTACATCTGGTGGTCTACAACCGATTGACGATAAAGCTGGTCCTGGCAATGATTATCACAACGGTTTGCTTGGTACACATACCGCAAACCGTATTATTTTCGTTGGTTTGGTCAGGGATTGATACACCGGCGTGGACGAAGCGATTCAGCGTCTTCGAAAAAGTGTCGCTCATGGTTTTCACCGTACAAGAGACCATTATCACCGCGATCTTCGTACGAATGGGCTTCCACAACTTCAAATCATTGTTCGAATTCAAGGGCCGAGAAGCGAAAGTCCTGCTCGGCTATCTTGTTGCCATGTTCATCCTCGTTTTCCTTCTCGACACCGCACTCTGTGTGCTGGAATACATGGACTTTTTCGTGTTCCAGACCACAAGCAAACCGCTGGTATACAGCATCAAGCTGAAAGTGGAATTTGCCGTACTCAACAAGCTGCTTGCTTTCACCAGGTTGTCTTCCTGCAATAACTGTCATGGGCTGGAAGACCTCGCCGTCGCAAATCAACCGAAATCATCAACATTGAATACGAGCCTAGTGACGGATGCGGCGACTACAACAGCAGTTGAGCGACCCCACGAATGACATAAAGACATCGTCAACTGCTATGCGTGCTATGGAGCAACTTCGGGTATCACGCAATACATGCGAGCAGTGTCAGTTGATCCATAGACTGCATTTGTCTTGGCGAGGTCAGCGAGTGTAATGCGTTTTATGAGCTTAAGGTCAAGCCGCTAACAGTTGTGTAGATAGTTGGCCAGATTCCTGCGAAGCGTTTTAGACACGCGTCAGGATTTTCTTCCTGCTTCAGCAGACGGTGGACTTGTTAGGAGACGGACGAACACTTACTGATGAATGATTGAATGACAACAAGATACCCAATTAGAAATTAGGACGCAGTTAAGGAGACGCATCAGTGTATTAGCGTAGTAATGAAAGACATCAACTCTGTTCGTAGTTTGACTTTTGTGAACTCTACATGCTACTATTACAGCTCGCGCTGAAGAGCTTGGGCTATCTATGAGGCTTCACAATCTTATTTACCTCTGACTTTACACTGTGGATATCTACCTGTGAAATCACCTGCTCAACCAATCGTTATTCTTCTCTGCGTCTTTTGCTCGGCCTTTCCACTTCAGACCTGTCTCCGATCTCATTATCATCGGACTTGTTTCCGTAATCCCTACCCCCGGATCTCTCAACAACGGACTTGATACACTTTGCAATGCAGTTTGCAATCGCTCTTGCCACCGGTGGAGGCTGGGCCGCTATAACATCCTCAAACTGCTTGAGAGGCGAACCGTAGAACACAAGATCGTCTTTGAAATGTTGGATTCTCGCGATCTCGCGAACGGTCAAGCAGCTCTGACGTTGAGAATCGCCTGCATCTTCAGGGGATAAGTGGCTGAGATCGAAGGACGGAGATATACGAAGGCTTTCGATCTCCGAACGCCTGATGATGGTGTTGTGGTTGTAGACGTAACTTGGTGACACGTTGCTGCCCCCCAATTCCCCAGATGGGGAGCATATGAACTGACCTCTTACCTCCTCTGAAGATTCCGTCTGCCTTGGGTTGAGGAAGCTCAGGTCTTTGATGAGATCGGTTATGAACGTGAACTCGTCATCCTCAGTCCGATGGGCTGTGAGCTTGATGGGTACAACGGCCAAGCCAGGAAACCGCGAAGCAACGGTATTCACCAGGTACCGCTGACGGGCGCAGCCGAAACTCTGCAGCGATGAGATGTTAACACATACTGTCTCACCCTTTTCGAGAAGTTGAAAGATTGTGGACGAGAACCGTTCAAAAACATTGGGGTGAAATGCCCCAGGTAGCATTTGAAGCACCTGAAAGTCCGGGTCAAAGTTTGATTTCATGATGGAGTCCATGATGTCAAGTGGATCGAGAAAGCTCTCCTTGAGCTCGGGTTCAATCCTGGGCTTTGAGCATCGGTCAGTGTTCCGTCCTGCCACTAAGGAAACTTTGATCGGGTCCCCTGCCAGCAAGTGAGGGGTATCCAGAGTTCCAGAGCTCAAGTCATTGAAGAGCTGCTGAGGAGAACCATCAAAAACGGGGCAATTTGGATAGCGCACCTAGATTGACAAGTTAGGCGGGGCTTTTCCACATATGGTTAATTTATACGCACTTTCCAACTGATGCTGTGCTCTGGATCAAACCCAACAGCTGCGAATGAATTGAATCCCGCATCCGCAAACCCCTCCAATGGGCCAAGAACGTTCGGGGTGAAATCGAAGACACTGACTGGGGATGAACTTGAGAATCCCTTTCGCTCTGGCCGTTCCTCTCGGGCTAGGTGCTTCGGGATGATGGGTGTGATCGTAACGGTTTCATCGCTCACTGACCTAGCAAAGCGGCAAGACAACTCCTTCTTGGCGTCTTCTTCTGTCGTCGAAGATCCGTCCACCTTGGCTGGGACGCATGAATGTGTATGGCAAACAGGGCGATACCTGACTCTGAAGCTCGTGCTGAAGGCCTTGGCAAATGTGATGTCCTTGATCATGACAACCTCGGCGTCGCTCTGTTCTCTCATATGTTGTACAGACGAGAAGTGCAACATCAAATCGCCAATCTCAGCGCTATCATCTAGTTTCCTTCCGCCTCGGAAAAGGTATTCTTGCCGAAGAATCGAGAACCTTATGACGCTCAGATGACGTTCTTCGACACATCCTGCGCTCCCGTCGTGAACATCGTGCACCCAAGCGATATAATCGGGATAACACTGAGAACTGTCTCGGATTTCATAGTATCGGTCTTTTTCGAACTCAATATCCAGACGACTGTCGTAAAGGCTAGATTCCAGAAACATATCCATGTCATTTCTCTAGGCATCAATTAGAAAAGCCACCAAATGTGTTTCCTCTACTTGTACTCACCTCGCAGTGGCACAATGTTCGTGGAGTGAGAACAATTGACCGAAGCTGAGGAAACTCCTCATTCTGCCAGATATGCTCAGAGATGGCCTCCTCACGAGCTTCCATTCCTCTATCAAGGCCCTCTTCCACCGGCGGGTCGTCACGAGCCTGTGGTGTAGCTGAGTAAATGTCTCGCTCCGAGTAAATGTCTTGCCCCGAGTAAACGTCTTGTTCTGAGTAAATGTCTACCTCTGACGATTCGTTGTAGTATGCAGAGTCCGTTTCCATCGATACATCAATGTCAGACTCCGTCTCCAAGCTCACGGACTGAGAGCGACCGCTTGGAGACGTAATGGGCATGGATTTATCCAGGGGGCGTACACATTGAGGAGGAAACGCCGTGAACGCTTTCTCTCCTTCACGCCAAACCATTGGAAAGTAATCCTCATTTGCGTCGAGATTTGCAAAGAGGATGCAACTTTGCGACAGCGGGACAGTCTTCGAAAGGCAATGGCATCTGGCATTCGACAGATGTTCTATGTGCGACTTATTATTAGCTCATGAGGCAAGAATGGTGTGCAACATAACTGTGTTGATTATGAGGTCTTCACGTCTTGTCTCACAAGTGCTGAGACTATGGAGTTTGACGTTGCAGACCTTCCTCTCGAGGTAGTTCCTGGACACCAGCTCGTAGTTGTTTCGGAGCCAGTGGACTTGAAGCTCGCAAGCCTTGGAAGTCGTTGAAACTTGGACGCCTCTGGGGGTCTGCCGAATGTACTCCCGAGCCTGGCGTCGTAGCTCGATGGCTTTGGAAGGAGAAATGTTGACATAGTCCCGTATATGGTTCATTGCAAGCTCAAGCAAATCTTCTACCACATGGTCGCAGTAGAAAATGTCGTCAACGTCATCATGCTTCGCGATCTCAAAGAACTCGCATGGAGTTTCGACATGAACGGCTTCGAAATTGAGCCATCTATGATTGATCTGAAGCACCCCACTCTTCGGGTCAAAGTGCAGGTCGATGGTGGTATCAGCACCTTGTACGAATTGGAGCTGAATTCCAGAAAGTGCTGTATCCATTGCCAAAACTGACTTCAGTACACGGGAGATGTTAAGACCGAAGTAGCCATCCACATTACCAACAGGCTGGGATGACGAGAACAGACGGATTCGTTCCTGCTGGGGGGTTCGGGCGCAGTCGTATTTTACAAGAAGTCGCCACAGCTCTTTGGCCAGCTTTCGAGGCTGCTTCTTGATATCGTTCAGAATGATGCCAACCTGTGATAAATCATTCATCAGCAATCTGTCTGCATCTCGCTCTTGTACCAAGACCTTCTCACCTGATGACCACCGTCATGCCTAGAATCGGAGCCTTCTGAATAATAAAATGCGCCCGGTTGACTAGTTCTCAGCCAGGTCCAGATGCGTCGGGCCAAGATTCTGGATGCCTTCTCAGCAGAGATGATATCAACACAGTCTTCACTGAAAAGCTCGACGTAACGCTGTACGAGGTTGCCATGGTCGCCTGCCACCGCTGTCTCCCAGATATTGGCCAGCGTTTCCGCCTCTTTGTCGTGAGACGTCATTCTCTCCCGGTCACGACCAAGCTTTCCAGTCGCAAAATTGTAGCAGAATCTGTAAGATTTGCTGCCAAGAGTAGGAGCGCTCACTTTGAACCCCTTCAAGTAGATTTGTCCTGCAAACCTCTCATCGAAGACTAGGTCTCCGTGCTGCGTTCGGATCATTTTGTCGGGATCGGGGTTGCTCAAGTCAAGCGACACAGTCGTCCAGGCGCGGAACTCTTCTGCAGTGATGGGCTTGCGGTAGCCTCTGCCCGTTGCTGGATGGGAGAGCTGGATCGCCACGTCCCTGGAAGAGTACGACACCAGATCGGATCGCAGCGTTCCTCCCATTGTCTGCTGTGTAAGTGAGACCGTCTCAGAATTGACATTCTTTGTGTTAGGCTTCGAAATCTTGCAATAGAATCGATCTTTGTTGAACCCTTTGAATCCGAAGTTCCAGTTTGCAGATGTGGATTGGATGCGCACTGGGATCCCAGATCTGACCATGACGAGGGCTGCAACCTTGAATCCTTCACCATGAACGCCAGCGAACTTATCATTGTTCCTCTTCGTTGAGCCGCCGATGCTCAAATCATCCATAGAAAGGTTGGCGTTGAAGTTGGCTATCTCGACTGTTCCTGTCTTGGCTTTATGAACGATGAAGCCGACGAGCTCTCGTTGACCTTCGATGTTGCGATGCACTGTGATGCGGATTACTCCTGGCGTCGTTTCGTCCCAGACCGGCAAGAAAGATCGGGGATCCATGTCAAACGCCGCGATGATACCGTCCTTCCTATGTGGATATCAGCGTTGGCGTCGAGCAGGCAAGTACATTAGAATCTCTGACCAATTTTGGATGAACTCGCGAAACGCGTGCAGTCGTCTCCAAGACAGGACATAATTTTTGTTCAGCCTCAGTGAGTGCGTGCCTGACATCTTGAGACCTTGGTAGTCATCCTCCTCATCGGAGGAGGTCTCCGGTGAATCTGATGAGGATAACATCGGATCGGTTGTGGGTCGTTGACTGTCATCGGAAACGGATTCGTAGGGAGACGACATCATCTGGGCGCTCCTGAACAACACCTTTGCACTTTTTGGAATGCGGGCCGCGCAAAATGAAATTCGTTGTGAAATCGAAAGGCTGTTCTGAGTGGATGATTTGTTTGTCTTTGAAAGGTTGGAGAGGAGGAGCTGTGCTAAACTCGAGGTGAGAAGAAAAGTGGGCCAGGTTGACGCTGCGGTCAACCGACGAGAGCAAACAGTAACAAACATGGTCAGCAAACACCGTGACCCACTAAGGTCCCTGTTGAATGATGTCGCTTTTGGAGGAACGGGGTATTATTATGATATATGGAGGGAGAGGTGCAGCGTTAACCGAGAAAAGGATGGTGGTTGAAGGAAGTTACACGGAAAGACTGGTATCAAACTTTCGTGACTCCCCTGCAGCCTTGTCCCTCACCTGCTGAGGTGAGGTGATTTCACTGTTGCTGATGAGAAGTAGTTCGAATTTGAAATTGAACATACACCTACCCAGGGATTAGAAAGGCACAAAATACGACATGTGATTCGGAGGCTTGTTTGGCGCGGTGGAAAAAAAGTCAATGTCGTCACACAATCAGGAATTACGAAGCCGAAATACTTACCTTAATTGTAGTTGTGGTTTTATACTTGTATTCAATGCTCCTTGTGACCACTTTTACGCAGGATTTCGAAGACACGAAAGTTGGAGGCTATTATTCGGCGATGGCAACTGATCCACGAAGGTTTTGGTTAGTTGTGCTGTATGTGAAAACAAGTGCAACAAAAAAACTGTCCTTGGGATGTTCAGAAGACTTTGAGGGTGATGGCAATTTCTTTCAGTAGTTGACAACCTGTGATTGGGCGGGCTATGGGTTTGAAGAACAGACGTTCTTTAAATCACATGCCCGATCTTCGGCGGCCCTGTACACCCATGCATGGTTCTGGTTGGACACGCTAACACACAGGTTTTTACGGCTTCAAGGTAAATAGGGCGAATTGGAATGCTTATTCACAGCTGAGTCTCGGTGTGATTCTAGTTCTAAAGATATAATTCACGGAAATTCGAGACTATGGCGCCGACGTCTGTGACGACTTCTTCGGCTTCGGCTTGATAAAACAAGCAGCAACGATCATACACCCAGCAACACCAGTAAAGAAAGCCCACATGATATGCAAAGCAGCGACGTAATCTTCCTTCCCCGTGCCTTCCGTCTGCACAGATGTTTCCTCCGAGTGAAGCGCCGTCAACCCTCCTCCTCCCAAGTTCCGCTGCAGCAGCACCGTCCCAATGACCACTGACATAGACGAGAAGAGCGACCTGAAGAACGTGAAGGCAGACATGGCAGCTGCCATATCCTTCTGATGGGTGTGAGTTTGGATGGCAATCATCGGGCTTTGGAAGAGCACACCCGCGCCGATGCCGGTGATGATCTGGAAGCAAACAATTTTGGCCCAGTCCGGGGTCGTACCGAAGGTGATGAAGAGTCCATTTCCGAGCGTCATCAGCGTGGCGCCGAGGAAAATGGGGACGACGTAGTTACCTGTCTTACGCGTGAAGAGGCCACCGAGCATCGTCATGACGGTGAGCGGGATCAGGAGCGGAAAGAGCGAGACTCCGGCGATGATTGGGGGGAAACCGAGGACGACTTGGAAGTACAGCGGGAGGAAGTAGTCGTAGGAGATGAAGACGAAGCTGTGGATGCACGAAAACGTAAAAGCCGCAACATTGGTGATCTTTTGGAAGATGCGGAACGGGATAATTGGGCTCGAGGCAAAGCGGGCTTCCCAGACCATGAAGAGGGCGAGAATCACCACGCCGAAGAGGATAAGGCAGATTACCTGCGCCGAGTCCCATGGCAGCAGCCCGCCCGCGCCTGTCTCGAGGCCGTAGAGAAAGCAAATTGTCCCACCGATGATGAGAGCGAAGCCAGTCCAGTCGAGTTCGCGGAGTCCGGTCATGAAAGGTTCTTTCGGAGTTTCGACTTTGAGGACGAAGAAGAGGACGATGAGAGCGATTCCATCGAAGGGAAGATTGATGTAGACTATTGGCTGTTAGCAACACGGCGCAAAAAGCAGATAAAATCAGGAAATACTCACAACACCATCTCCAACCAATGGTCTGAGTGAATACTCCCCCAAGCACTGGCCCGACGGCGCTCGCGATGCCATACACAATGCCTGTCATACCATAGTACTTAGCCCTCTCCTCGAGCTTGAACAAATCTCCAATCACAATCGTGACAAGCACCAACGAGCCTCCACCACCCAAGCCTTGAATCGTCCTCCCGGCAATCAAGACGGAGATCGAGCCAGCCAGCGCCGCAACAAGACTTCCTGCCATGAACGTCGCCGCCGCGGCCATGATGGTCCCCTTCCGCCCGAAAATGTCTGACATCTTGGCCCATACTGGAGTAGATGCCGTGCTGGAGAGCGTGTACGAGCTACCCACCCAGGCATATTGCGCGGCCGAGGCATGCAGTGTAGATGCGATTGTCGGAAGGGCTGTGGCGATGATCGTAATGTCAAGAGCCGAGAGCAGAAGTGTTAGGCAAAGGGCGAGCATGACTGCCTTGCGGCGCCATGGTGGCAGTGGCGGGGGGACGTAGGATGCCGTTGTCGTAGCGGGTGCCAGGGGTGGAAGAGGTCCCTCATCATTTTCAATTGCGGTCTGCGACGGTGACTCGGCTCGTTGGTGTTTTTCATCGAGTTGATCCACGGGTGGAGCGGTCGTGCTCTCCATTGCCACCGAGAGGTAAAGGTGAGAGCGAAAGCACGAGAACGAAAGTCTTCACTCGAGATCAAAGTTAGCTGGCGATTAGAGAAAATTCTTTCACGACGCGTGCGAGATCCTAGAAGGAAAACTGATCATTATCGCGTCTGGCTCAATGATTGACGAGAATTCGGTGTGGGCACCCCGGTTCATTCGGTTCGGTTCGGATCTGCTACCGAGCCCCGGGTACGCGTGTCTTCACAAGCTGTGCTGAGCCGCCGGAAGTCGTTTGTAGGATATTGAGCCGATTGCGATAGGTCACCTGCGGGCTTGAATATCTTCAAAACCGGAAATTATCAGATAGCTAATTGAACAAAAAGCCACAGCAGAAGCCCTGTACTCAAGGGACGTCTTCTTTTTCAGCACACATGCAAATAAGACTCTCACTCGACTCCCCCACAATGCTCTGGTGTAGAGCCTTACTCCTCAACTTCCTCCCTGCGCCGCTTGTTTGGCCGTTCAGTCGCTGTGAAATCGATAAGCTTTACTTCCTTCGATCGCTGAATGACGGCCTTAATACGCTCCGCAGCAGCTCTCGCCACTGCTGGTGGCTGTGCGAGGGTGACTCGGTCATATTGGTTTTCGTTGGAGCCGTAGAACACGAAGTCATCCGAAAAGCCTTGAATCCGTGCAAACTCACGAATTGTGAGAGAGTCGTTGCGAACTTCGTCAACAGTTAGTTGATTGAACTTCTCGTCATTATCAATACAAGGGTACGTACTTGGATGAACAAGATCGTGACTGCTATATGTTTCGAAATTGATTTCATTCGACCTCAGATTGACCACCTGCGCCCTCTCTTCTGAAATGTTGTAGCCGGTGTTGTGGTTGTAACATTGTGCGCCGGCAGGTTTTAAACTGTCCGGAGGGGCAGAGCACACGTATCCAGTTCCTGATCGTGGATTGAGGAAAGAAAGATCAGCGATGACATCGGGGATAATCGGAGCTTTGAGTCCTCTGACAGGGGGGCGAAGCTGATGCTCTTGATATGTGGGCACAGATGCTAGTCCATGGTATGATGAAGCGATGATCGTGAGCAGTCTGCGACTTTGAAGGATACCGAATTTTCCCAACCGACGATGCATTAATCTGGACTGCATTGTCACTTTCCAGAAAGTGGACGATACTCTTGCCTAATCGATCGACAGCCAAACTGTGGAGCATTGCGGGGGGCAAGTGCATAACCGTGAAGTCAGGAGATCGAGTGTCCAAGGCGTGCTCTGCCATTTCGAGCGGATGTAAAATGTACTTCACCGAAGGCATCACCTGATTTCCTTCAGTCAACGCAAAGTTCGCATTGATGCCGGCTGCTAGCACGGTCGTAGGCGAGCTGCCAGACGGCTATACTGGCTCATGTAGCCTGCCTTTATTAATATCGTCTAGAACGTCAGTGAAACAGCCGTCAAATACGCGGCCTTTTTGATGTCGAATCTTCTGCTGTCAGCAAGACTCTCCCATGAGCGTTTGAAGTCTTCGATCTGATTCGTACCTTCCACGTTACATCACGGTCCTCGTCGAATTGAAAAGCGGCAAAGGGTTGATATCCGGCAGAGCAGAATCCTTCCATTGGGCCAAGAACCTTGGGAGTAAGATCAACAACCCAGACCCAGCCTGGGGGTGCATCAGGGAATCCAGCCTTCTTCCGTCGATCCTGCCGGGCTAGAAGATGCGGTGAGACCGGGGCTAATGTGAGAAACTCGCCTCGAACAGATCGGCTAAACCGGCAGAAGAACTTGTCTTTGTGAAGATTCTCTAGATATAGATGTTAGAGGAGATACAGTAATGCAAAATGAGGAGCAACGTCTAACCGGGGTGTTTAGCGCAATGCATGATGTCGAAATCGGGTCCCATGTGTCCCACCAAGTCAATGTCGTTGATCGCAACAACCTCATTATCAGAAAAGGTCCCCATTGTCTTGGTCGCTGTGCAGTGCAAAAGCAATTCTCTGTTTTCGTTCTTATCGTAGTCATCCCATGACGTTTTTGAATCCCACAAAAGGCTTGTCTGATCGTAAAAGGAGTATTTCGTGATGATGAGGTGCGGGGTATTCACACAGCGGACACTGCCGGGCGAGATGTCATGCACCAGCGCAATGTATGTTCCAAAGTTCCCGGAAGTGTCTTTGATCCTTACGTATTGGTCTTTCTCAAAATTGAAGTTGAGCCGCCGGCTGTCGAACTTGGTATCGACGAAGTTGTCTGTAGCCTGCATTTGGTGTTAGCTTCCTACAACCTGAATCATGATAGATCTCAATCTTATCACTTACATCGCACTTGCAGGCATTGCGCGTCGCAAACATTTGAGAGATCTTGATGGGAAGATCTTCGGCATGCCACTTGCTCCACGTCTGCTGATCTTCGATCCACTCCTCGCAGCCAGCCGTTGATTCAACAGGCTCTGCGTCGGCACTACCGTCGACCTCTATAGATTGTCCGGTTTCGCCATCGTGTTCTGGCCAGTCTTGAGGCGCAACTGAAGCTGGCGCGACTCCAAAAAAAGCTCCCACATGGTATCGAGCAACCATTGGGAAATACCATGACTGTGGGTCAAGGTCTCCGAAGGTGGCAGAGCACGCAGACAGTGGAACCTTCAGCGTGGGGCAGCGGCATCGACATTCCATAGAGTACGCGCCTGGCTTGGCTTGTTGTCATGGTCAATATTTAATCAGAGGTTTCGGGGACATAACGTACCCCAGCTATCCAGCACGAGCGTATGCTTCTGACACCAGCACGAAGCATCTCGGTGAAGGCGGACGTAGAAGTTAATATCATCTCCATGATGCTTCGCAACGATACCTGGATCGTTGCATGTCCATTCAACCCGAAGCTGGCCAGCTAGCGAACCAGCGCTGACTTTTATGTCTCTTGGGGTCTGGCGAAAGAGGCGTCTTGCTGTTGATCTAAGCTTGGCGATTCTCAATGCATCGTGATTCGTTGCACCCATGACCGTCCTGAGAACGATGTCAAAGAGGTCCTCCACAACGTGATCACAAGCAAACACAGCTGTCTCCTTCCGTCGGGCTTGGCTTATGTCGGAAATGTCGCAAGCAGCGTCCTGATGTGCTGTATCAAAACGCAGCCACTTCTCATGGATGAATAGACGTGAGCTGGAGACATCTTGACGCACGTCGATGCTAGTGTGATCACTTTTCACGTACACAATACGACATATCTTGAGCCGGTGCTCCAGAAGCATGGCTGCCCGAAGCATTCGGTCGACCGAGATAGCAAACAGATCATCTGGTATGGTGATTGCCTCAGACGACAAGAACTTGTGATCGATGTGCTCTTCGGGGGTGCGTGCAAGTTTGAATTTTCTCAACATCTTCCAAAGCTCTCTCGGAATAATGCTTGCCTTCTTCTGCAGGTCGTTGTTGATAAGATGAGCCTACTCGCGCTCATTAGCTGCCAGAAAATACAAGATGGCATGAAAGAAAGACCAACCTGATGTGCTACATCTAACTGAGAATCTGGGTCATTGGCGTAAAAGAAGCAGTTTGGTGCGTCCTTGAGAAGATATTGCCAGAGATGTTCAGCCATCTTCTTCGACACCACAGTGTCCGTAAAAGCAACATCTGGGCTGCGAGCGACATCGAACAACCTGACGTATTCCTTGGTCAACTCTGGCCGCTCAATCACAGCCATTTCCCAGATGCTGGCGACAATCCTGGCTTCCTCCATCTGATTCATCATACGCTCTCGATCACGATTGATGCGTCCCTTGGCAAAGTCGTAACCATAAGAATAAGTAGCGCTACCGGGTCCTTGTCCAGAAACACGGAGACCCTTCAGGTAAATGCGGCCTGCGAATGGGGGACCTATGAGTAAGTCACCATGCTCAGTTCGAATGATCTCCTCTGGAGATGGACAGTGAAGGTCGATTGCGACCGAACTCCAATCCCAGAACTGTTGGTCTTTGATGCTTTCATAACCCTTTGGAGTCGAAATCCTGACAATGACGTCTCGGTGAACATAGGAGGTAAGGTTTGTTCTGGCTCGTCCATTGCTAATCTCGGACAAGAGGGAATCGCGGTGTTTCTTGATTGTTGACGTCGCAGGCTTCGTAATTTGACAGGAAAATTTGTCCTTGTTGGCGCCTCGGAACCCAAAATTCCAGTAGCCAGAAGACGATTCGATGTGAACTACGCGGTTGTTGCGTGTCATCACTAGAGCGGCGACTTTGAACCCCTCGCCATGGGTCCCGGCAGTCTTGGAGTCATCTCGCTTGGTGGTCCCTCCGAGGCTCAGGTGGCGCGGGTCCAGCGCAGCGTTGAAGTTGGCGAGCTCCAAAGTACCGGTCTGTTTGATGAACTTGATGTAGCCAAGGAGCTCCTTTTGAGACTGATCTGCTCCTGTCTGTATGGTGCGATGGATGGTAATCTGGATGTCTGAGTCTGTCGTGTTCTTCTCCAGGATGAAAGGTCTGGGATTGAGATTGAATGTCTGAATGATGGAATCCTTCCTGCACTTGTTTCAGCAAAAGCACCTGACGGCAAGTAACCGGACTCACCAATTCTGGTACCATTCCCGAAATGCATCACCTTCAGTCCAGAACGGGACGTAATCCTGGCTCAATCCAAGCATGTGAGTACCCGGCGCAACATTGTTGTGATCATCGCCCTTGTTGCTCTCAACTCCGTACTCCGATCCGTCGGAGTCGGACGAGTCGGAGTCGTCCTTGACTCGCTGACGCTTGGAGGGCGGCATTAACTGCGAGGGCCCAGCCGAGACTGGGGATCGGAAGCAAGATTGAAGAGTCTGAAAAACTCCAAGAGCTTCCGCAATTGAGATGAGACGCAGTGGGAAAGAGTTGCGAAAAAAACGAGTTGCGGCGAAATTGGCGAGAGCAGTGACGGGGCGGAAGAAAGTGGATGGGGAGTTAAAAAGATGAAGTCGCGACCGAGCGTTGTGGAAACCTGAACGCGAGTGGGTGACTCCCGCGACTTTTGGTTTTGAGGGAAGGAACAGGTTTCGCAAATTGGACGCTCCTTCCCGGAATAATGATGTGGTTTTCTTTCCGTACAAGGGAAGCCACGCCCTCTTTCCTCCAGTTCAGTCCTTCCTTCTCCAATCGAACCTGAGCGGGAAAAAGGAAAGCTAACGGAAAGACTCAAAGACCCCAACAAGAACACAAAGCAAGCTGGTAGAGAAGATTGTCAATTTAAATTTTGAGTGATACCAACAAAAAGCGAAGACTTATGTCCGGAATCAAACACTATCAAGTTGAAGAAAGTATTTTATGGCATTTTAGATGCAGAGAGCAGACAGACAGCCCAGGCTTGTGACTCTGTGGCCTGGTGAGATCACTCCATACCCACAGCCTGTTCAGACTGTCTTTTCGGCAGAAGGAAATCCAGATATAGCCTGTGTAGCATTCCCAGTTTTGTTGGTTCGATCGAATCCCAAGTACCCACAGCAAAGGTGTCTTCACAATGCCCGCCAGGATCTAACAATGGACGCCCGTCGCCAATCTTGCCATCTTAGATCTACACAGCATCAGAGCCCAAGTTCCAGCCCTCCATCTTGTCAGTGTCCCAATCAACACTTCCAAGACTACCAATTTGCTTGTTGGATTCTGTCTCTCGTTCAGCACACTGAGACATGTAGACCACTCCAGAATCAACGATCGCTGGTGGGATCAGCGCTTGAATCTTCTCTTCGTGTCCCAATACCTTGGAGAAGAGGACCGTATTTTCCTCCGTGAAAGAGGAGTCCAGACTTGTCAAGAAGCGCTTTCGGTTGGCCTCTTTAGGCAGTGTATTAGCGACGGAACGTATGACAAACAGCAGTGGAGGCACTCACTCCATCTCGGGGTCCACAGGTTGAGGGGTTTGCACTTGTCCGGGTTCTTCTCCTTGTCTTCCGGGAACTCATAGAATTTGGGAATCCAAGCCTTCTTCAGTCCGCTCCAGGTATCGGCGTCCATAGTCACGACACAGTCCCAGGGTATTCCCTTGGAAGGATCGTACTCTGGGAAGTCCTGGAATGCTGGGGATATGTAGGTACCGGTTCCCAGCTGCCTACCCGAGGTTCCGAGCGACTGTACAGCCTTTCCATCATTGGCGTTGATGGCGTCAGCTTCAGCCTGTTTTGAATGTGTCAGTTGAAAAGCCAAGGACGTTGCCCACTTCGAACAAGGGGAGACCAGCAAGATGTAACAACAAGTACCTTGGAGATAATTCGATATCCAATATGGCTTCTTGCCCCGGCACGTTTGTGCAAAGAGACACCTTCGAACGGGACAGCCGCGACGGCCGCTGCAAGAGCGAGGACAGCCCAGAACTTCATGCTGAAATTATTGGCGAGAAATGAATGACTACAGTTAGCTTGTAATGAATGTCGAAGGGCCGACTGCCATGGCAGATGGGAAAGAGTGGGAAGGAGGCGAAACTACACCAGCGAGATATCCCGACCCAAGTAATAAGGTAGTCGGGCGGTATCAGAGGGAGAAATCAGGCTACAAGCCTCGGTCATTGTGCAGTAGCAACCAAGGTGGAAACCTCAGCAATAAAAGTCAGCGGGCTAGGTTCTGCAGCGCGGGGACTTGGCACGCAGACTATTAGCGGACGCTATCATCAGTTAGTTACTCGGGATATCCGATCACAGTCCGATATCCAGTTCAAGGGCTAAAATCTGACTTGTCTGACTTCATGGCTTCACGATGTGCGTGAAATATTGGCACGAGAGGTCAGTTGGTTCAGATGCCAGCAAGGGTGTACGCGTCGATATTGTAACTCAAGTGCGTGCCAACCAATGGTATTTCACTCAGAGCAGAGCGATTCCAGAATGGGGTGTACGAGTCGCACCATTACTCGGCCAGGATTCAGATCCATGGCGTTCTCCCTGCGTCCCTGGGAAATGAAGTTGCTTTAGGCAGAGAATTGTCCGGAGCGTAGCCGCAAACGTGCAGAACAGGGGTCGGCCCGTCCTCGATGAATTCTAGGCACCGATTAGCAGGGGTAGCGAACTGCTCCATCTCTTCGTAGGGCCAGGCCAGGCGGTGGTGACTGGCATCGCATCACCTCCACAATTGACGACTGAGTAACTCACTAGCACAACCGCGATTTTCTCACCCTTGCGGAATGTTTCTGCTAAGGACTAGACGGACCAAACGATGTCGTTCGTACAAGACGATCGGCAGCCAAGACTTCTAGACCTAGCGTCGGATAGCCCACGCCTGAAGCAGATTCACGCCCGAAAACACAAGGAAATAAGATGTTACTTTTGGTGGGACGGGACGAACAAGACGGCAAAAACACATAAGCATATCTGTGAGACTTAGGCGCAGCGGAGTCGGGAACCAGCGTCAACCCATGTCTAGCGCGGTAGTTCGCCGACCAGGATTATGGCAGTTGACGAGGCACTTGAACTGCCTCGGAGGTATTCGCCAGCCTGCCTTTTCTGTGGTCTGAGCAGACCGTCTTGATAAGTATTCTATCACGGCTCGAACACGATCCCTCCTGTGGCTCTTGTCCTCGGCACCACGTTCCTTCCAGTCTGTTGCTGCATTCCCTTTACTGTCATCCATGTTCCTTACCCATATCAACAATGAGATTCGTACCACGGTCTATTACGGCCGGGTTGGTGGCCATCACCCTCTTGCTGTCCCATCCAGCCACGGCAATTGAGAATGGCTCTGAGAAGCTCGCCTCTTACTTGGCAGCATATCCACTTGCAACCACTTCAGCTGCTCCAGCAGCCATCAGCAACAACACGCTCGCTCCAGAACTCGTTGATTTGGTTCTGAGTCGCTGTCCCGCCGGGTGCAATGAGTCCGGCTTGAACTCGGGCAATTGGACTCTGTATCCCAGACTCGGACGATTGTCAATGTGCAACGAGACTATGCTTCTCGATTTCAACCCCTCCAACTCTTTACGCAAGGACGAGACTGTTCGCGCTTGTACAGCCAGCTTCGCAGTGGGCGCAAGCAACGTCACCAGCAACAACACCACTCAAGGCCCGTCATGTCTGCCGAAATGCAGCGTGACCAAGGTCCAAGAGTCACTGCAGCTGGCTTTCAACGTGACCAAAACACCGGCAGAGTTGAAGGACTTTGAAGCCGCGTCAGAACAGCTCGCCGCCTCTTTGTCTCAACGGGAGTCGAACAGCACCGACATCGTCTCCTTCGCATACTCCAACACGGTTGCTCTTGGTCTCTTCGCGGGATCCGGGGTCCGCGATATCCCCTCCTCCGTGCTGCGGCAGCTCATCACCAAGATCAAGGCCGCTGGTTTCTCTGACAGTGTCGTTGCACAATTATGTGCCAAGGACGGCCGCAGCTCCCGATACAGCCTTGGCATTGCTGTGAGCGGAGACCGCGATCTGAAGTTTGTACAGGATGCCGTGGCCACATGGGCATCCGGCGAGTGCATCACCTCTTTTGACAATGTGGAAGACTGGCAAGACATTACGTTGCAGGTTCCAAGTATTTCCAACAACAGCACTGCAAGCTTTGGCAACAGCACCCGTGCCAACAGCACCGCCGGTACCGCCTCATCGGTGTCTAGCAGGTCGAACATGCTTCAGCGACGAGCTGAATGTTCAACTGTTCAGGTCGTGTCCGGGGATAGCTGTGAGTATTTCACAAGGTAGACTCTCCGCCATTTCACAGACGACTAATTCATGTTATTTAGGCGCAAGCTTGGCGGCGGAGTGTGGCATTTCCGCGAGCGACTTCACCACTTATAACCCGGATTCGACACTCTGCTCGACTTTGCAAGTGGGACAACACGTCTGCTGCTCCGCCGGAGATCTTCCCGACTTCCGCCCGCAGCCCAACTCAGATGGGACTTGTTTTTCTTACTACGTCGTGCCTGGCGACAGCTGCTCTTCCTTGGGAGCAGCCAATAGTCTGACCAATGACGAGATTGAGAGCTTCAACACCCAGACTTGGGGCTGGCAGGGGTGCTCGAATGTGCAAGCTTACCAGTACATCTGCCTTAGTTCTGGCGCACCTCCGATGCCAGCTCCCATTGCCAACGCTGTGTGTGGTCCGCAGAAGCCTGGAACCACCCAGCCAGGAGCAGGTGTCGATCTCGCCAGCCTGAACCCTTGTCCCCTCAATGCCTGCTGTGTACGTATCATACCTCCATTTTCATCAACTCTTCACGGCAGCTAATCTGTTTCCCTCCTTCAGAACAAGCACGGTCAATGTGGTATCAACAAGGACTTCTGCACCATTTCTCAGTCAGAGACCGGCGCACCTGGGACATCGGCCGAGGGCGAGAATGGCTGCATTTCCAACTGTGGAACTGAAATCGTCGTCGGATCAGCTCCGGGCGAGCCCATCAGCATCGGCTATTTTGAAGCCTACAACTTGGACCGCCCGTGCTTGAACATGAAGATCACCGCGATGGATGTGACTCCGTACACGCACATCCACTTGGCATTCGGCGTCGTCACGACTGGGACATATGCCATCGACGTTAGCCACATCCAGGAGCAGTGGGAGTTGTTCCAGCAAATGTCTGGCTTCAAGAAGATTCTTTCTCTCGGTGGCTGGGCTTTCTCGGCTGAGCCGGCGACGTATTTCATTTTCCGAGATGCCGTCAACCCCGCGAACCAGGACACATTTGTCGCCAACATCGTTACGTTTGTCCAAGATAATGACCTGGATGGCATTGACATCGACTGGGAATGTGAGTCACAGATGGTTCGTCCGTCACCTAACCATGGCTAACCAAGAACTCCCAGATCCCGCCGCCCCAGACATCCCCGATATCCCAGCCGGCACGGCCGAGGATGCCGCGAACTATCTCACGTTCTTCACCAAGCTGAGGGCTGCGATGCCCTCTGATAAGTCTGTCTCCTTCTGCGCGCCCGCTTCTTTCTGGTACCTCAAGGGCTATCATATCGAGGAAATGGCAGAGCTGGCCGACTACATCGTCTACATGACATATGATCTTCATGGCCAGTGGGACTACTCTAACCAGTACGCAATCGACGGCTGCCCAGAGGGCAACTGCCTGCGTTCTCACACCAACATCACCGAGACTCTCCTTGCTCTGTCCATGATCACCAAGGCCGGTGTGCCTTCAAACAAGCTCGCAGTCGGCGTCTCGAGCTACGGCCGCTCGTTCCAAATGACAACGCCGGGCTGCACCGGCCCCATGTGCACATACACAGGCGATGGCTCCGGGGCGTATCCCGGACCATGCACCGGAACCGCAGGGTATATCGCCAACGCCGAGATCAATTCCATCTTGGCGGGAACCGGAACTTGGATGACGTCGTCTGGAGCCCTGCAGTCGATCGAGTCCTACTCCTCGTACTTTGACGAAGACAGCCAGTCGAATATTGCCGTGTACGACTCTACCCAATGGGTAGCCCACATGGACGACGACCTCAAGGCAGACCGGAAGGCTCTCTACGAAAGCCTGAACTTTGCGGGAATTATTGACTGGGCGATTGACTTGCAAGGCTTCGGAGGCGACAGCATCGATTACGGCTCGTCTTCGAACATCGTGTATCCTCCACCGAGCATCTGGGACTCCGACGATCCGTTGGTAGGCTGCGAACCTCCATGCATCGTCGTCTTCCCTCCATACCCCCTTAGTGCCACTCATACCGTCACAAGCTGGCCAGCTTTGACGACAACTCTCTTGTCTTCTGGAGCCGGCGGCGTGTACGTCGTGACAACAACGATTCCCGTCCCGTCTTTTACCATGACCGACGTCAGCCTTCAGCCCCTAACACTTCAATCGACGGATACAGCGCACTATAGTATCAACCCTGTCCAAAGCATCACTCCGTCATCTTTCGTCTACACTCTTCCTCCGAACCACGCCACTTTCCCCGTCACCACCCCGACGCCAGCCACTTCCTCCGACACGGATGTGCCTTTGGTCATCATTCCCCCGGTCACATTCTACCCGACTTCATTCCCCGTTACTATTCAGCCCCAGCCGACCTACTCCATAGACTACCCCGACCCGACTGTCCCAATCCCGCCCGTCGCTGTCACTCCCACGCCGACCTCTTCTTCCACAGGTTGCACTGGATCAGGCTGCGGAACCCGCGACTGCGGCATCTTCGGCTGCGACGGCGGCTGTGGACTATTTGGCTGCGACGGTGGATGCGGTATCTTTGGCTGCGGTGGAGGCTGTGGCGTCCTCGGTTGTGTGCCTACATGTCCTCTGTCGTCCTGCGGTGGCGTGGGTTGTCTGATTCCGGGCGGGTGCGGAAACACACAGGGCACCGACGGCGGCGACAGCAGCGAGAACTGCGAGGAGCCTGTGACCGCGTCGGCCTGCACTTATCTCGTCACCAGCTATAGCGCGTGGTACATGGAGTCGTCCACACGGACAACTGAGGTAAGTCTAAACTTTGAGTGTGTCTTGACATGAGAATAGGGAGCTAACTTTCGGAATAGACCAGCTGCGTAACGAGTACTGCTTGCAATGGCCAAGATACCGCGACAACCACGACGCCCGGTAGTCCTGAATGTTCCATGGACCCAGACATTGCCGCGGCTTTGTCTGCCGAACAAGCAGCCGATCAGACCATGATTGATGGGAAACAGATTCCGTTGGAGTTTGCTCCAACCAACCCATCTGACTACGACGGATCAACATTCACCGCTAAGCAGTTCGGTCTGACAGAGACCATAACTGTCATCGCAACCTCAACCAAGACGACCACGCCGACCACCACGGTTACCGTCGTGGTTGAGCCAACCGCGAAGGCCGACTGTGCTTACTGGTAAGTTAGAACAAACTGTTTCCGTTTTACCACCAGTGAGCATTTATCTGACTTGACTTCACCCACAGGATCACTGCGTTTGGTTGGTACACGTTTGAAGTATACAACATCGATGGCTGGAGCACCGACGGCGGCTCCCGCCTCAAGTCTGAAGAAAAGGGCTGCGGCGCCCTGACCGGCTGGGACTGGCGTGAGCGCACATCTTCCAAGTACGCGGGCGCCTACTTCAACCTGCCCTTCTTCATGAAAGACGGCTGCGTTGAGCGGGCCATCGTGTCAGCCGGCGGGCCCAAGCTGTCATGCGAGTTCACTGGCTATGACATTGGCGTTGCTTTCCTCCCAGCCAAGAAGCGGTCCACCCCGGAGATGGCGGACGACCTGCCGGAGCTGCGTCGACGACAGTACGTCAGTGACACGCCCAGCCTGCCCAGTCGGTCAACGACACAGAGCACGACGTACTCGCAAGAGCCGACTTACTCGCCTGAGCCATGGGGTCCTGGGGACACTGTCACTTTCACGACCACCATTGAGTCCGTGACTAAGTCGACTTACACAACAGAGGTAGTGCTGGCTTCCTTGGGGACGTCTTCGTCGTCGGCCTCATCGGCCTCGGTATCATTGACTTCCAGCAGTACCACGTCATCTTCGAGCTCTGCAGCCCCGTCAGCTTCGTCAAATCCCTCAGGCGACGGCCGTTGTGGTGCCGACTTTGGAGGGACAACCTGTGCTGGCTCTGGGTATGGCGGTTGCTGTTCAGAGTACGGCTACTGCGGCGATACAACGGCGCATTGCAGCACAGGCTGCCAGTCTGCATTTGGTTCATGTACCGAGTCAGGGCCAGTGGTTTCGACGGATGGCACATGTAGTTCGACCAGTGATCCCGAGGGCGCAACCTGTCTAGGGTCTGCTTTCGGCGATTGTTGCTCAGAGTGGGGTTATTGTGGAAGCACGAATGCTTACTGCGGAACGGGATGTCAGCTGGCATTTGGTTCTTGTACGGAATAACAGTTTGAAGCGTACATGGATAGTCAACGTGGGATAATATCAACATAGTACATAATATCATAAAGAAAATAAACAGTTGTTCATTTGGTATCGTCGTGTTCCTGCCTTAATCTGGTTCTATATCCTTGGTTTCAGCTCGAAGTTGAATTCTTTGGAAGACTCCGAGAGGCTCCATCTTGCAAACAGCTGTCCATTCTCCACCAAAATCTGTCGCAGCATTTCACTCCGATCCTGTTCAGAGGCAGGCCATCCGTCCTTTTTGCGCACGTATGGCTCCATGACCATCAGCGCCTCTCGAATCCACTGCTCGACCCTATTAGCGTCAATTCTTCCACCAGCAACCATCCGCTGCTTTACCTCCTCCACCTGCTGTCCCTTCTCGGCCCCGAAAGCAGCACCCATCAATCCAAGGAGAATGTGCGACCGCATCCCATAGTTCAAATCTCTCATGTCGACGCCCTCCGTCTCCTTCACCGCAACAGCCGCGAGGAAAGCAACCTCCTCCTCGCTCCCCACCTCCGGCTCCCATCCCCGGCTTCGCGCCATCTCACCCACCCCGCCATCGGGCAACCCGCACCAGGTAACCTCACTTTCGCGCGTGCCATCCAGGTCCGGCTCAAGTCGCGGCGCGTCGACGGCCTCCCATCGTTCCCGCGAGTAATGCGCTTCCCAAGCCCACACGTCGAAGGCTCCCTGCGCAACAGATATGCCGAAGTCGTTGGGGTTCCACGTCTCTTTCGACGGCTCGCGAAGAGAGTCTATCTTCATGCACTTGAGCCAGAAGCGAGCTTGAGTCTCCGAGTACGGCTGGACGCTGGGATAGTCCTCTCGCAGGCGTAAAATGGTCTTCTCGAGGGTGTCCAGGGCTATCTGTGTGACGGTCTCGGCGGGGAGGGATGGCTGTCGTCGACAGGTGCGCACAACGTTGTGCGCCCAGCGCGGAAGCTTTGTCAGGTGACCTATTCCTTTGTGGCGTGGCTGCGCGAGGGGGTCGCTCGAGTCCGGGAGATCTTGCAGGTCGGGGAGGCGGTAGAAGAGAGATGAGGTTGGCTGTGAAAGGAGAGAAGACGAGTAGTACTCTCGCCACGCATCCTCTTTAAGCAGGTCGTGATGCTCGACGTAGAATTCGTCAAACTCATCTGGCGAGGCAAATATACCCTCATCCTGATCCGAGGAGCGGTACATGGCGGCTACGAGTTGAGCGAGATAGAAGAGGTCCAGAGTGCTTGTTATTGTCAGCTCATTACTTCTCACCCAAATAGCTCCTTCTACTCAAGAATCTTACCGATTGAATTTTAGGTCTCCCTTGCCAAATGACCAGCCACGCGTGTGAAGTCGATCAACAATATCAAAAACGCCTCTGCCATCCCACACCGATTCGTCCAAGTAGATGAATGCTATTCGCAACAGTCGATCATGGCTGTCGACTGGCGTCTCGCCACTTTCGACACTGTCGCGGAATTCGTCGGCACTCATAGCTCACGATTCTCATCACGCCACACTGTATGCTTGAGGTGTGAACCTGATCGATTCTAGGCAGCGATTTAGTTACTGCGGGGGTGACAGATCATCAGTATGGCCAATAGCAGCATAATGAATGTGGGATAAAAGTTGGTTGTATTGCTTAGTGTAATCTGCTGGTCCTGCAGTAGATCTATATAAACGATTGGCGTATATCCCTTGTAAGGCAATCCTGGCC